ATTCCAGTCAGCCAAAGCCAAGAAGAAGCCATTCATTCATTGGGTGCACTGCCACACTGCCACACTTTGTTGATAGAGAGAGATGTGATTGGATGAATGTCTAGCGCGGAGGTAGCCCTCCGGCGAACGAAGAGGTTATCCAAGCAGATGGTAGCAAACTCGAGTCAGAACCGAAACAACGGAGAAGGATTCCGAGGCTTGGCCATACATACCACAGTAGGTAGTACTCTCACTCTTGGATTTACAATGACTGCGAGCTTTAGGAAGAAAACTTGATTCCGGATTCCGAACACTAGTGTACCTAGTGAAGACGTATCGGGAATGCCTACCGGGTAACCGGTAAGCAGACAACTTCACAACCAAAGCCACAGCAAGATTTTCTAGAAGCGTGTGGTGTTGTGCATGCCAAGCTGCACTGTACACTGCACCAATGACATTTGCATCTGGGCCTCTTTTTTTAGGTTAGAGCGTTGCACATCCTCCTGCATGTCTCTCGCGACACTGCAAAAGACCGGACGGGTTGGATGTAACCTTTGTTTCGAAAAACTCTTTCGGTCATGCATGGTGTGATGAGTGTGGGCAGTGAAGAGAGAACAGAGAGAAAAGTGCTATTGAAAAATCTTTCAGACTCACAAGAACGAATCAGACATGTCAATTCGAAAGTCCAAGAAGAAGAAATCAAGTTTGGTGAGGCACAGCACCCACCAGCAGCAATCGATGGAATGGAACCTTGGGTTCGGCACCGGAACGGCTATCGTTTGTTGCACAGACCACTTTGGGGGCAGCCCATTCGTCCAGTTCCCCACTTGCATCTGCCCCTGCATCTGCATTTTCCGTCACCGAGCAACACACAATGCCATTCTGTTGTGTGCTGCCACGAAAATCGAAATCAGAGTTTTCACGCATGGGGGTTCGTTCGGGTTGCTACACACCGAATGGGAAAATTCTTTTTGTGCTTATAGGACTTGGCTGCATGCTACCCAAAGTTTTGACCCAAGTTATGAGCGAGAGCGAGATCGATACTACTGCCGTACCTAGCCCGTAAAGAAAAACAAAAAGCAAAGAAACGTATAAAAGTGAGAAGCGATGCGGGATGTCCGAAAGCCAGTCATCATTCCACTTGTTTTATTGGCAAGTAGAGGTAAAGACGCTCAATTTATCCGGCGTCTAACTAGGATAGACAATTATCAAGATGCAAGAAGGGATTCCAGGATGTGCAGTCGGCCGGACAATCACAACATTCGTCTCGTTGACTTGGCGTTCCGAAATCGGTCTCGATGGAACAGAAGGACAAGCAAAGGGCATCTCTCAAAGACTGCCCGCGCCATCTCCCGATTGGCTTCGTTCTTCCCAATCGCAAAAAAAAGCATCAACAAGCAGCATGTTGAGACTCATGTCGGTACACCAGTAGCGTATAACCACGGTGTGTCTGACCGTCGCGACCGACCAGAGTCTGCTAGTATCCTCAAGCTATATTGACAGGTCTAGCCCCAGGAGGTTCCTAGCAGAAGCCCTGTAAATAGCCCTGCAAGCGCTTTGCAGGCCTCGGCTGAAAAAACAAGGGCCCTGGCGTGTCTTGCGTTGTCCCACGTGTCTGACCGTGCAACGGTCTGGGCCCAACAGGCCGGTTCGGTTCCGCCGCCGCCGCGGAGTTGCTAGGGAACAGGGGGTGGGGGGCATCCTAACAGTGCGGGACCCGAACCACGCTTACGACGCTGACATGTGGACTTGCGGCACTAAAGTACTGCCGGTACATCCTTGTTCCCGAATGAGTTGTGCGATGGGGAGGGGGGAGGACGGGGAGAGCTCCGTTGAGAAATCGTTGTAGTGTAGTGGTTGATTCGTTTTCCGGTAATCGGGAGCTTTTACGGGCATTCTGTTGTCTTGTTCCAAACGACAGCTTCCATTGAAGTGAATGTGCCAACTTGAAGGCATTTGCAGGCCTCCCGTTCTTTCTATGAATCCCCGGGCGACAACGTTGAGTCCAAGACAGGAAGTACAATGACTGTGAACGGTGACTCGTGACTCGCGAGCTTACGGTTGACATATGAATCTTTCCGATGCTAGCCTTGAGTCTAGCTGGTGCCATGGAATGAGTTGTCGTCTTTTCAGGCTGTGTACGCTCCAGGTACATATCGTAGAACTACATAGTACTAATCCATAGGTGTGTTGTCAACCGAGTTAGTTCAGGTTGTGTAACGTCCAGATCGGTAACTTTGTCGATCCTTTAGTTGTGGCTGAAATCGTTGTTCAGGTTGTCGGCCCTCGGATCGAGACACCCGAGTTCCATGTTCATGGCAGAAGGAAACGATCTTCGACCGTTGTCAACCGCAACAAGCGGTTGTGTATTCCAAATCAACGTTACTTTTCAAGTTTCAACGCTCAAAGGGAACGTGATCACTACCTATTTGTCATACCTTCGGGCGCAGTTCCATGTGGTCGCACCGCCCAACTTGGCCTCAGGCGCGAATTCAGCGATGCGATGATTGTTAATGAGGAAAAGGCTTGAGTGTAGCGTGAAGTACGATGGTATGTAACGCAAGGGCTGATAGGGCTGCCGAGAAAAGTCCGTTAAAGACAAAACACTGCCCAAAAAGATGCAATGTTCAGAACGGGCGGCGTCAACCTAACACGAAAAAGGTGTTCGGCGTTCCGCGCACGACCCGACGGGGGATCGGGACCGTGCGGGGGCCCCTGGACTGCTCCACCTTTCCCGACTGGGGTCCAGGGGCAGAGATTCCATTCTGGTTCCCCCACCTTCATCTGCTTTCCATTTTTGTTTCGTCCGTACATAGTACCTCCACGTTTCCGTCCACGCACTGCCATCTGTAACTTTCTGTTTGAGTTTGGCTACGAGGACGCAGCATAAAACTTGTTCTGCCTTCAAGTTGGCGGTTGAAGTGTCGATACAAATGCCATAATGATCAAATGTGATGCTGAACAAACCACAAATCGCACCTGAACCAATCGCAGATGTAATTCCTAAAAAATGTCGGCCTCCCGCTGGGCTGTTGCAGACGCGGCCCAAGAAGCCATTTCTTCGGAAGTCGGATATTCTACGAGTTAAACTGGCATTAAGCCCAAACGTTCCAAGTGCTGCGGCACGGCCACAGTAGGACGCGGGCAGTCGGCCGCTTCACTCAGATTGCTGCAGTGCGCTGCTACTTGCCTGTCCCCTTAAACCGAATCTAGAGGTAATTATCAGGCCGCCGTATCACCGCCAGCTGAAGGAAAAGATACGAGAAAGCCGCCAAGGTGTCGTTAAAAACGGGAAACTCGGATAGGTTAGAGATACGACTGCGTATTCTGACTCATTTTCATTGGGCCTGGTCGATGCTGTGAACTTGAATGAAAGAAAACTTATCTGGGGCTTCGAGAGGTTTCGCTGAACTTGTGCCGACGGACAGGTGCCAAAGCTGGTACGCATCATGTGACACGGCGGACACATGACAATGTCCGACCACAAGATCCCATGACAACTGAACGGGTCCAAATGGACCCTTTTGAATTCTTGTTGAGTTGAGAGATAGTTCCGAAGAAAGAAAAGCTTACGAATCAACAACTCCATGAGAGTATCCGAAATCATCTGTGCCAAACGGTTATCCTCGTATAGCCGAGAGGTAGCTTGAAGATGCTAAACGAACAGTGTACCCACCGCACAAGGTGCTAAGGATGAGCCACATCGGCAACGCCACATCATTCCCACGCCCCAATTGGTTACTGTAGACCTCCGCGGTACTGCGCGATGCCAGCAATACACTACACTACACTATGCTCCGCGCTTGTTGTACACTAAGCTTGATGATACGAAGTAGATGTCTACGTAGCAGCAAAGCCAGCTGAATAATGACAGCTGTCTTTGGTAGTTCGTTGGCCAAGAACAACAAAGCATAGGAGAAGCCGAGCGCAACCCATCACCAAGTAGCAAGCATTGGGGATGGAAGAGCCGGTCTGGAACCGCCACGGGCACTTAGCTCTCCCGAGAAGCCTGGGGAAGCACGCATATTTTCCAACCAGCATCTTGGGGGCAAGATCTCGGTGATCCGGTAGATTCCCCGTGTGGCTCATTCTCTTGGGAAAGGGTTGTAGTGTAGTCTCAAAGTCCAATATCGACCATGTAGTGTACTGGGGCAGCCCTAAATCTCAAAAAACGGCAATGAGGGAGCATGAGATGACTCCGCTGTTCCCGATTATAGCAACTGATAGGCCGTGGCAAAGCGCTGAGATAAACGTGCGAGATGAGATTTGTGAGACGTGTGCAATTGGGAATTTTCGGGGTCCTAGCACAGCCCTGCGTCCCTGACAGATAAGTTTCCAACTGCCGAGTAAGAGTTTCGATTCGAATGCAGAGGGTCGCTTTTGTTGGGACGGACCAGTAGCAGTGAGTCTTCGACATGAGAGGTCAGAGCTAAACTCTCGTACCCCAGTGACAGATCGCGCTGTCCCGCTTCCCTGTGCCGCGGACTAGGTAGACGATCCAGGATGGGAATTGCCAAGACGTGTGATGAAAAGAGGCTGTGCTAAGAATGTGGACGGATCTACGGACAACTTTCTTTTGGGTGGGGGTACCAGCTACAAAAAATGCGAAACTCTGCTGCTATTGGAGGCCAGAAAACTTTACTTTTCCCGTAGTGACCCTCTTAGCGTGTTCCAATTATCAGTTGCGGTGGAGGCCCGTGCTCCTCCAACTCGAAAGCTCCCAGCCGAATTGTTGTCGCGCGACTCCCCGATTCACACACTTCAGTCCCTCCACACCAAATCGGCCGTCGTGACTGGTAGTGACGGCATCATGGCCCAGACCCGTCACAGCCGGCGTATTATGCGCGACTTTGGCTAGCTCCTCTTTTCCTTAGTTATTTTTTCCCACCTGGAACGTCTTTTTTTTCTTTCGCACAGTTTGCATTCCATTGGAGCCGACGTCGGCCAGGTGTCATGGAATCCGAAATGTTCAGCAATGGACTGCCCTTGGGCCCTGGCCCTTGTGTGTCACGATTAGTCACGCCCCGGCTCGATAGTTCGCAGCTTTGACCAGCAACTCCAGGAAAACCAGTCAGGATGTGGACGTGCCATCACTCATGTACCTCTCTTTGCTGAGCAGGGAGTACCAGTAGTGTCGAAGCACGGCCAGAAAGCTACACGGCCTTGCTCTTGGACGAAAGCAAATGACTCGAGGTAGCCGACGCCAACAGAAGCCCAGAGGCATGCACAACGGTTATACGACTCAAGCCGTTGAAGCCATCAAAGTCAGCCAGTTCGGTGCGTCAAATGTCAAACGTCAAGACTTGGCCGGGTTTCATGGGAAAAGCCAGTGGGCTATGACCACATTCGAACACTTGTCGAGATCGCATGCGACCGAAGCCATCGACACGGCGGGCCGGACTCGACACGGGCTGACATCAGGACCCTGCAGCGTTGGAGAGTTCGCAAAGCAGCGAGTTGATCGTATACCCGCATTTGGTGTGGCCCTTTACCCCATATTCGTTGTCCTCTTCCGTCAGCGGTTCCATTCTTTGGTCATCACCTCCCTCCTCTGATCGTTTGGTCCCCTGCTTTCCTGCGACGGGCATCCGCTAACCCGTTTGGCTCCAAAGTACCTACGCTACGACAAGCCGAGCAGAAGCCCAGCGGAGAAGTGGTTACCCAACTGCAGGGCAAGAGGTTCGAGGCTCATGCACGCTCCCAGGGCACCCCAACCCTGGTCGGCCTGCTTGTTCTCGGTCATTCCAAGGCTTCGCTCCAGTCGTCGACCCCCAACACGCGACCCGCTACACTAGTGCCCTGTGCTCCCTGCAACTCCACTATCGAGGTCGCGCCCACGGTGCCCACCCACCTAGACCCATAGCCGGCGGGGCCTGCCTGTCTTCCAGGTCGACAGGGGGGTGGAGATACCTGATGGGAGGTACCACTGTAACGTCGAGTTGGGTACGTACCTACCTACACTACGTACCGGACCACTCTACACTCCTTCCACTTCCTCCTCTGCCCGCACCGCACTCCCGTCCTCTTACATCATTAGTTTTGGACGGACACCACGGGGCATAACATCACCCCACCAGACTCAACTACGTCTGCGCACATTAGTCACCATTCCCGGGACATCGCTTCTTCGATTATAAGAACTGTGTCGGTGCTTCGAATTCCTTCTCTTAAATTTGCCACTGGTATTCCCACCGATTGCTATCACTTACGACCAAACTAAACCACAATATTATCCTACCACTCCAATATCACTTCATACATAACACTTACCATGCCACTGATGCCGCAACCTACCTTGATGCCTTTACTACAATCTCCTTCCCCTCAGCATCAACATCAACAGCAGCAACAACAACATCGCACGATCGGCTATCCACAGCGAACACTCTTGCCACAACAGAAGCAGCCACAGCAACAGCAGCCGTTGGCCTACCTGACAAGCAACTTCAACCCCCAGCAGTCGTCTGTGGCCTCGTTCAACTCCAGTCCGGCATTCACTACCATCAGCGATTTCGACCAAGACTTCGACCAGGACTACAGCAACTGTCCTAGTTTGACTGCATCGCCCGTGTCGACGTACTCGCTTCCTGCGTACTCCTCCACCTCGCAGCAGGGCTCGTCTTTGTCTGCCTTTGACAGCATACCCAACACCACCACAGTCCCCCGCGCCGCTCAAGGCGCTGCTGAACCTTTGTTCAACCTTTGGGCCGATCCGATGCAAACGGAAACCTGGCTACAGCCCGCCGACCAACTGACATCCAAGTCGGCTGGTCGCTATGGTCACCATCGCGAGTCCTCCCTTTCCTCACTTGGCTCAGCTGGTCCGGCATCTCCTTACTCGAACAACACGTCTAATCCGCAGATTGCCGTAACAGACTTCAACGATTTCAGCGGGTTCGAGGATCTGAACTACCACTTGGTTCCCTCCAAGGCGTCGGCCACTCTTCATCCTAGCTTTCCCGGCTATGCCAACTCGAATGCGGTGCCTATCACTGGCTACGCGCGTGCCCCTGCTATGTCCAAGCAGAATAACAACAAGTCTTTCCGGCAAGAGCAGTCCGTTGGTTCCAACAAGCCTCGGCCTGCGCCGGTGGCGAGTTCCATCATGAGTGACTCATCTGCCACGCCAGCAGGTGAGGCCGAGGTTGCTGGACGGCAAAAGAATGGTGAGAGCCAAGAAAATACGGATCTCCCTGATCGTGACCAAAGCTTACCATTTGACGATGTAGCTGTCAACAACAACGCTCCACCCAAGTTTGATCGGACTTTGACTGATATTATGAACGACGAGCTGTACCACCCAGATCTGGTCATCACAACCTCTGCTCCGGCACCACAGCAGACTCTGACCACAAGCAACAACAATTTTAACAAAGTGGTCGAGACCGCGAACCAGCATTTGAGCGCGATGCAGTCTCCTGCGTCGAGTAACAGCTCGCCGTTCCGTCAGGGATCTCCACATTCTGCCACTCTCCACGACTTCTCCTCTTTGAACATGGCGTCACCGCAGGTTCGATTAGGCTCAGCGCAGCAGATGCGGGAAAATAGTAAAGCAGTACAGGATGCCGCCTGGCAACAGTCGCTGGCGAGACACAACCAGGACATGACACCAAAGACCATCTCGCCCAAGGACGCCTTGCTGGACTACCACGAGCCAGAAGGCGAATCCAACTTTCCCCTTTTCCCTCAGCCGGATAACCACGGCTTCAACTCGGATGCGATGAGCAAGGCACTCTCGCATCAGTCGCTTGATGGGCTGCCAAATCTGGGTGATATGTCCACTTTCAACTTCAACTTCAGCCCGTCGAACCTCGACTCTATGCCAACTTTCAACGGTCTTCAGCAGCTTCCTCAGACCCTGCAGCAATACTCTTTCGTCAACCAACCCCGACAGCCCAGCACTGTGCCGTCACTGGCGACATCAAGAATGAGCTCTGCGGAAACTGGTATCACAGACTCCCCTCGGAGCAACGTGGTCCAGCGACCGGTGGATACCCGTGCTGAGGGTGGAACTTATACGTGTACCTACCACGGCTGTCCTCTACGCTTCGACACGCCTCAGCTTCTCCAGAAGCACAAGAGAGAGGGCCATCGTCAAGCACACGGGCTAAACTCGAGGCAACCAAACGGCATGACTTCGACGAGGGTGGATACTCAAGCTGGTCCCCACCGTTGTGAGCGGATCAACCCAAGCACCGGCAAGCCGTGCAACCAGATCTTTTCCCGACCTTACGATCTTACCCGTCATGAGGACACGATCCACAATGCACGTAAGAAGAAGGTCCGTTGCGAGATTTGCACGGACGAGAAGACTTTCAGCCGTGCGGATGCGCTTACACGACATTTCCGGGTGTGCCACCCAGACGTCCCATTCAATGGTGGAAAGCAGCGTAAGGCTCGTGGGGGTCGCAGCGGTTGAATGCTGAAAACACCCGTGTGTTCCTGATTGGCAAAAGCGTCATCGCTTCTGAAATTCAGGGTCCAATCTACCGTCATAGCGTGCAGGAACTACACTAGACATTTTTTTGTCTTTGTCGATCACATCGTCAAATTGCATTCGACTCCGTCATCAGAGCGCGATGCAATCACTTTCACAGTGATGACGTCTGCGGTTGCAGCACGCTACTGGACAGGCTGGGCTGGGCAGGCCAGAAAGGGAGGGGCTCTAGTCTAAGACATGGGCTTGCAACCCAACTTCGCCCTCTGATTGGCCGGAGTGAGTCTCCCGTGGCACCCCGCCAAAATTCAGGGTCCGTCATGGCGTCGCTCGCTGCAGGGTCTTTGGCATTCCTTGCCGTCTTTGGCCTTCTGCGCAGTCTCTGTTTTCCGCGCTCCTGCATCATTGATTTTTGTCGGTGTTGCTCAGCCACGCGGAAGGAGCAGCGAGGCCAGCCGAGCGGGTCGGAAAGATGCTGAGGAGCATTGTGTGAACACGGCTGTTTCTGGCAAATCACCGGCTTCCCAACCGCTGCCTGAGGAAGCCCGAACTGGGAACGGTCTTTGTGCACCCGCCATATGACGTCATTTCCAACCTCTGGACCCGGTTGTCCACACCACGCCATTTATCATCAGCATCACTATGAAAGGGTGCACAAGTCCAGACCTGACATCAGACACGGGTTAGAGCACTTTCTGAGCTTGTCCGGTACTTATCAGCGATGATTTTAGCGACAGAAGTAACTGCGAACAGCTGGATTTTCAAATGCGGGTCACTATTATTATTTTTTTGTTTTTATTTTTCTGCCGAGCATTTTCATCCTATCACAAGCGGGTTTGGTTTTTCCAATAGTTCGGCGTCATCGCGGGAGATCTTGTACTATTTTGGGCGAACTTATGTATTACGACTTTTCTTTTCTCGACATTTTCTGTACAGTTTACATCATTATACACTCAACTTTGGAAAGCGGGGGGTCCTAGAGTCTACAGGTATAAAAAGAGAAGAATGACGATGCTCATGACTGGAAAATGAAAACGGGCCAAGGAAGGATGGAAAGAATGCAAAGAACGGCGATCTTCACAGATGCACTTTCTTTATCATGTACTATAGATAGAAATGATCAACAATCACTGAAAGCATCAAACAGAAAAGATAACACCCATCTCGTGATGACAGCGTGATTGTCGTATGTTTTGCACCGTGATACCAACCAAGGGGTCTTGGACTTGGCAGCGGACAGCGGTTCCGCAGCGACCAAGAGCAGCATACTTCAACGCTATCAAATCACTGAACCTTTCAACAACCAAGATATCTTGTAAAATACCTGGATGTATTAGATAGACATCACTTGTCCGTCATCGGCGTTTGGGTTCCATATCTCTGGTGAAGCAGTACCGAGTATCCATCACCATCATCATTGACTGCATCATCGATATCATCATCGACATCATCACCATCCTCATCCTCTTTAGCCTCATCATCATCATCATCGTTATCGTCATCGCTATTGGCCAAGACTCGAATCTCAAGTACTTACCTTCCTTGTAGGCGATCTCGGGCTATCCACCCGCCTTCGAGATCTGGATCTGGATTTGAATATGACAAACCCAGTGAGTTGGTTAGGCTTCTTGCCCCACCAACCCACGAACCAACGGCGACCTCATTCATATCTCCAGTAGACGCAAGTTTAATGGGGTGTCTTTTGCAGACCCTGGAACTTGGAAAGCTTGGGTTTGAGTTGTTATTCTAGTGTAGAAACCTCGAGCGGAACAGAGCCGGCAATGCTGGATAGACAGATGTATGGACCGGTCGATCGGTCGATGTGCTGTGTTATAGTAGTGTTACTGTGCTATTCTGTGCCATTCTGTGCGTGGCAGGAGTTGGTGGGAAATTGGATACCGAAGAGACCGGAAGGAAGACATGAACGAACACAAGTAACATGGACAAGACGGATGGAACGCACTAAGATACGTATCGACCCAAGCGTAAGTGTCTTTTGAGTGAAAAAAAAAAAAAAGAAAAAAGAAAAAAAAAAGCTTTTGTGCGCAGAACAGAGTTGTTGGGAAGCACAAATAACATTGTCGGGTATAGACATTGCAGAGGGAATAGGAATAGTAATAGTAATAATACTAGCCTTGATGAGAAGAACGGAAACGGCAACGGCAGAAAGTAATGGCGGGGGTGCTGGAGTCTGTGGTCGAGTTGAGTGGCATGGTGTGAAGCTATCCTACCAGTCTTGTCTTCAAATAAGTATGATCTATTCAGTGCTTACCTTACGTGGTTGAAGAGGTACCAAGCTGAGAGACGTGCTTCTTTGTTTTGGGAACGAGGTATGGGGAAGGGGTATTATCTGGTAAGCCATCGACGGAGTGTGAAATTGAAGCTACATTGTTATTAGAAGACACTGATTGTTTGTGTCTTTTACCTTTCTAGTATTTGGCCTGGTCCCCATTGTACTGCAGATCTGGGATATGTTAAAGAGGAGGGTCATCGCAGCTGTATTTGTAGGGGAATAAGTAGGGGGTGAGATCAAGTCAACAAACGACCCTGTGCTGTATTTGTCCAGAGCAAAGTGGTTGTACCTCTTCATTATCTGCTGTCAAGAGAGATCATCACAAGAGGGCTAGCTAGGCATGACACTACGGGTGTCAAAGGTCCATCATGACATTGTATCTCTTGTGCAACAAAGTGTGATATCTACCATGGGAGTTGTTGATCTATGTGAAATAATAAATTTCTACCAAGAACCAGACAACAATAAAGCAAAGATATTACAAAACACCAAACCCATTTTCGCCGCCAAGTCCACGTCGGGCGTGGACTACCTATTCTATCAAGATTGAGTGATTGATGCATTTCATTTCTCCATGTTCCTTCCCTACTATGTCCATTCGCACATTTTTGTACACCCGGGTTTATCATCAAACGACCAACATGCGACACGACACGCCAACGCCACGACAAGACAGACACATACACACTCATTCACCCCCAGAGGTGCGTGAGTGTGTCACTTATAGCACATGAGAGTGGTGCTCAGTAGGCACCTTGGTGAAAACGTCGAACGAGCCGGTACCGGTAACACCCAGCTTACCGACAACCAGTCTGCCTGATGGGGTGTCGAGGCTGTCCCAATCGCCGTCGAGAACGGCGTCCTTGAGGAAGCCGACGGTAGTTTCTGTTGTGACATGTTAGCAATGAGCTCGGGCTACAGGAAAGGCAATGAACGGCTGATGGATGATAACGTACCGTAACTCATCTTGGTGAAGGGACTGACGTTGCCGGTCAAACCCATACGGTTGAAAGGAGTGAAGCCACCGTTTCTGTAAAAATTACTAGTCAGTAACTTTGTTGCTTGTTTATGTCATTGAGAAATGAAATCTTACCTGGTCATGTAGTCGCCAATGAGGTTCAGATGGCGGGGGTCCACACCGATACCGTGACCCTTGAAGACACCGCTCAATTCGCGAACGATGCTGTTCCTGGCGGCCTCAACACCGTAGATCTCGAGCACTTGGGCAATGTCGTTGGTCATGATCTTGTTGGGGTTGATGTAGTCGGCATATTGCTGCATGGCCTTGATGTTGGAGCCTTCGGTGTGGACAAGACGCTCCTTGTTCTCCACAACGAATGTCGCGGTGCCGAGTCTGGGAATCTGCTGGATGAGCGCCTTCTTGACAGCCTCGGTGACGAGGTTGAGCATGAGAATCTTGGGTGTCGCGGGATCGAACTCGAGGATCATCTCGCACCACTCGCCGCCTTGCTCGTCGCAGTGGAAGCGGGCAACGAAGTCGTTCTTGTCCTTGATACGGGTCTCGCGTGATCGAGACTTGTACACGGACATATCGCCATCGGCGTTGCGGTCCTCGGGCTCAGGGCTACCACCGTAGCCTTCGTCGTCGAACTCAAGTCTCTCCTCGCCCTCCTCCTCACCGTCATCCGCGCGCTGTAGAGACTTCTGGATGGCATCATCATCGTCGTCGTTGGGGCCATAGGACACTGCCTCGTGCCTATTGGCTCTGTTCTTGGCGTTGGTAGCGTCATCATCACCGTCGTCATCGTCATCCGCGTCGCCATCCTCGCCGACAGCACGCTCGCCGTCGGGCGCCGCCATCTCCACAGTGCCAACCTTGACACCGATCTCGGGAGTGGCAGCAGAGTTCTCCTTGTACTTCTTCTTGATTTCCTTCTTGGTGAGCTGACCAAGCAGGGGCACGAACTTCCTCTCAACAGTCGCAAGAACATCCGCAATCTCGATCGCGTATGTCTTGCAGTATTCCTCAGATGGGAAGAAGCGCAACCTGATCTCGAAGAGCTTGGCAAGAGGGTAGCCCAAGCCACGGCCCATCTTCTCCCTGACGGTAACCTCCTTGGTAACATCGGCCAGGGGAAGAATGCTGATGGACTTGGCAAACCGCTCGCAGTCTGTGTCAGAGAGCTCAGCGTTGGGGTAGAGGGTCATGGCAGGAGTCGAGATCTTGGCAGAAGCTGTCATCAGAATTTCACGAAGACGGGGGATACCCAGTGTGACGTTCTTGGCAGAGTGACCAGCCAAATGGAAAGTGTTCAGTGTCATCTGTGTCGAGGGCTCACCGACGGACTGACCGGCTACGATACCAACAGCCTCACCAGGCTCCACCAATGACCTGATGTACTTGGCCGCCAAAATCTTCTCGGCATTCTTGCGAACAATGATGCCAGAGGAGTCGCCCTTCTTCTCCTTGATTAAGCCATCCTTGTTCTCCTTGACGTACTTGGTCATCTTCTCGAAGAAGTTCTCCGAAGTAGCGAAAGCATACAAGGCAGGGTCAACATCCGACTCGATCGGGTTGAGCGGGTTGCGGGTATCCCTCGACTTGATGGCAGCCTTCATCCGCTTGATCATCTCGTCCTTGTGCTCGAAGAGAGCCTGAGTACCCTCTTCCGAGTAGTGGAGATGCGCCAACTCGGATTTCAGGTTGCGGAGGACGAACTCGAAGTCGTTCAAGTATTTTTGCTTGGAGATATCGATACCATCCTCACCAAACAGGAACTGAATGATGGAGCCATCCGAGTCTCTGACCGAGGTGTCGTAAGCGACCTTGAGACCTTCCATACCCTTGATCAAACATCTCTGAAGGTAACCGGAACGCGATGTCTTGACGGCTGTGTCGATAAGACCCTCACGACCGGCCATGTGATGGAAGTAGTACTCCTGGGGGCGAATACCAGTCAAGAAACGCTGGACAATGTAACCACCAGCTCTGGCGTTGGTATCGAAGGGCTTGAAACTAGGGAGAGTCTTGCCGCTGACCATAACGGGGACACGTCTACCTTCCAAAACCTGCTGACCCAAGTTACAAGAGATGAGGTTGGCGTTGACAGGAGAACCCTTAGCACCTGATGTTGTCATACTTTGCATTTGGTTCTTGGGGAACTTCTTTTGCAGACCAGCAGGAAGACATGTCTTGGTGATCTCGCTAGAAAGTTGGGCGCAACGTTGGTTCATCAAGAGATCCAAGTTCTCTTGCTTCTTGTCGTTGCGCATAACTTCCTCCAAGCGTTGCAAGAGAAGGGGATCTTCGGGAGTAGGCTTCTGCTCCTCGAGCGACACATACTTGGCGGCGACCTCGAGACCGATGTGAGCGGCGGCCTTGATCTTCTCCTTTCTGTCTGCCTCTCCCTTGGGCGTCATGACTAGATCGTCCATACCGCACGAAAAGGCAACCATGGCCAGGTAGCGAGTGAGGAGACGACCCATGCAACTGAGGAGCTTACCAGCAGCTGAAGGGCCGTAAACTTCGTGAATCGAGTGAATCAAACCACCACTGCTGGGGCCCAGCTGAGACTTGTCGAGGATACCCGTGATGAACTCTCCATCACGGAAAGTGACCTGGCCTTCTTCTGGGGCATGGTCACCCCACTGATGAGCCTTGACTTGTGTAGAGCCGTTCATCCACAAATCACCGCAATTTGGGGGCTTGATGTTCTTGAGGATTGTGGTAATGACTTGCTTACCCGTCCAGCGGGGAACCGGCTTGATGATCGCCGGCGGCAAAAGCTCAATCTTGTCTCCCATAATGTGACCACTCTCGGGCCGGAGAGCGGCGTAGATGAGTTGATGGTAGTTGGCCCGATCGAAGAAAGTGTCCTTGTTACACAGAATAACGGAAACGGACAAATGATCCTGAATAAGACCGCGGAGAGGCTTGCCAGCGGTGCCGGAGATGTACTGGTGATCAGTGTCGGCGAGCTGAAGGGCCTCGGCACGGGCAATTTCGTTTTGGGGGAAATGCATGTTCATCTCATCACCATCGAAATCGGCGTTGTACGTATTGCAGTTGGCGTAGTGCATGCGAATCGTCTTCTCGCCCGGCAGCACTCTGACTCTGTGACCCATGATGGAGGGCTTATGAAGGGTGGGCTGACGGTTCATGAGGACGACATCACCGTTGGTAAGGTGGCGGTGGACCTTCTTGTTGCGAACTCCGCTGAAGTTGTTGTTGGTCGGGGCCAAGAGCTGGTTGGCAAGGGCCTGACGCTCCTCTGAAGACTTGTTCCTCAAGTTGATGATTTGGCCGTTCTCCATCTCAATGGCGGAAGCACCGGGCCACTTCTCCATACCGTTCTGCACTGCATTCTTGAGATCATGGTAGTTGTGACTCGTTACGGGCTCGGGGTATGTGAGCTTCCTGGCGAACACAGGAGGGACACCGATCTCGCTGGTCTCGATGTTGGGGTCGGGAGAGATGACGGATCTGGCGGCAAAGTTGACACGCTTACCCATCATGTTCTTGCGGAAGAGACCCTCCTTCTTCTCGAGCTTCTGCTTGATACCGTCCTCGTTGCGCTTTCCAGCAGCACCCTGGACGGGGTTCTTATCGCGATCGATCAAGGAGTTGACGGCGTCTTGAAGCTGTGTCCACGCCTGGTAGAGCGCATTGATATCCCTGGCCCTGCGTCCGTCCTCGGGGGCATTACCCTTTGCGGTTTCGGAAACCTCGCGAGAGATCTGGGCGACCATAGACGACCCCCTGAGGATCAGCTTGTAGAGACTGTTTTGCTGCGCTTCCGTTACTTGGTCGCCCATTCTAGCCTCGGGTCTGAATTTGTTGGGAGGGACGAGAAGTGTCTGGATGAAGAACATGTCGGCGGTCATCGGCTTCGCGTGCTTGGGGCGAGGCTTGGAGCTAAAGAGCAAAGAAACAATCTCTTGCTCCTTCTGGAAAAGGAAGTTTAACCTCTCCTTGACCTCGAGAGAGCTGATGTATCTCTGGGGAAGGGCCCTCTTCTCGGCCTTCTCCTTCGCCTTGGTCTTGCTGCCCGCGTCCGCCATGACAACATCGCCGTTCTCGTCGAGCTCTTCGCCCTCTCCTTCACTGTTGTCGGATTCGCTGGCTGTTGACTCAATATCGGCGATCCCCTCATCGTCATCATGATCCTTCTTCTTGCCGCCCTTCATGGCCAGCGCGTCGGCACGCTTCCTTCCAGCCTGGGCCATGGCAGCCTTCTCCTTTTGTGTGAGGTCGCGCTCGAAAATCTTGGTGTACCGATCCTTGCGGTACACGGGAGAGATGCCGTCGCAGGTCCTGCACTTCTTGTCCTTGATGATAGCAGCCAGGAACTCCTTGACGAGAGCCCTGCGCATATCGGCGGCGCCTTCGTGCTTGCCCTTGTTGATGTCGCGCATAGTCACCTTAGTCCTATAATCGCGAAGAACAGCGCGGACATATGCTTCCCGTTGGCGGATGGTGCTGTCGTTCAGGTTGTTTCCCTCCTCCTCAGCCTCGTCATCCTCCATCTCGGGCACGTCGGCCAGCTGGAATTGGCGGATGGCGGAGCCGAACTCGCTTTCGCCGAAAGAGTCGATCATCTGGGCCTCCTTGAGAAGGCCACACTGCAGCAGACGGAGCATGCAGGAGTAGCGGTGGATTTCCCTCCGGGGAAGGCGGAACCGGTGGCAGTAAACACATTGCGCGCGCAGCAGACGGTATGCCTGGTCCATGAAGACGGGGTGATAGACGGGCACGGGGAGCTCGATGTGGCCGGGATGACCGGGACACTGCGACTGGCCAAGGTTACATGTTGTGCAGCTGTTCAGCAGAGGGTCACATCAGTCAACACCACTATCCAAACCACCAATCTTTCACGCTAAGAGAAGGCAGACGACGGGGCGGGGAGTCTCACAGTGAGTCGCCCCAGGAACCCAAGGCAGGGTCGTAGAGACCGCCGGGGACGGGGTTCAGCAGGCTGTCGAAGGTGCTCTCATTCTCGATCTTGCGGACCGAGACGGCGCGGATCTCGGTGTCGGTCAGGAAGGTGAACTCGACGCTGTCCAGAGAGGACGACACGGGCTGCGAAATATTCATGGTGGGCGAGAGTGGTGTATGGTTACGAAATCGCAATCTTTACAATCCCATGGCGAGGGTTTTCCGTCTGAAGGAGGGCCGCAGGCAAGTGGGCACGGTCGTGGGGAGACAGCGGCAACTTGCGAGGCCAAAAACAACAAAAAAAAGAGTAGAAAAAAAAAGGCAAGATATCGAGTAAACTGAGCCTTCAGGGTGTTTACACAGCCAAAAGCCTTTCGCTATGCCACTGCAGTCAATCACAGTCTACAGCTTCGCCTATTGGTTGGATATTTGAGATGGAGCTTCCGCGAAAGAATATTTTTTGGCGGTCGCGGCCGGCAAAATTCGCTGTTATGCCTGTGGGGAACTTGTACATAAGCCCAGCGGGCATCTCGATGGGCGGTGGCCCGGCTGGCTTCCTTGGCTGACGGGACTCGGCCATTTCGCTAGGTATGTAGTACGTAGATCCCGTCCACTGATTCAACACTCTTGCAGTGCAGTCAGCAGTGGCCTTCACCACATTCAATCAATTCGCTTTCAGGCATTCCACTGGGTTCCTTGTCGTGAGGTCTGTCGCTATCGTCACTGCAAACTACCACGTCTTGTTTTGTTTCCTCGACCTCATTTTCCAAATCTACACCTATACTTTCCATCACGACGGGACCTCGACGGATCTCAACCATCAGGGCCGGGACCTGACTAGGACAGGAATCTGACATCGATATTGCGAACCACATTCATCCACCTGAGAATTGGTACCCATTACACTACCTGAAGCGCGGCGCCATTCGCCATAGTAAACTCGATCTAGTGTAGCTTCCAACTCCCGACCTTCGCGCCTTGTCACCACATCCCGGCAACTTTACAAAGAACCTCGACCTCTTCCTGTATCACTCGACAAACCGACTCTTCCTACTAGACAGCCCGCATTTCACATCAACATGGATCGAGGACAGCCAAGCGGGCTTGGCCCCCGCCATGACGCGACTTCACGAGTTCAGAAACCCGAGTCCGCCGCCGATCGCATGGCCGCACTCAAGGCTCGTGTCGCCGCAGCAGTCGGAGGCTCCAAAGCAAAGGGCGGCTTGAACACACCACTGCATCCTGCCCTCGCAGACCTCGGCGCGCCCATCAAACCCGGAGATTCCCTCGCGGCCGCCGCAGCAGGTCGTCGAGCCGCCCAGAAAGTTGCAGAATCATTCAACAGAAAGGAGCACCGAACACCTTCGGCAACAACAACAGGCCAGCCCCGAGCCAATCCTTACCTAGACACCAGCAGCCATGGACCACAAGGCAAGCCCAAAGAGCCACGACAGCTCATCTTCAACCAGAAGGGCAAGTACATTGCCCAGGCGAATGCGCTACGGAGACAAGCCGCCTTGGAGGAAATGAAGAGGAGGATTGCGGAGCAGGCCAGGAAAGCAGGACTGGACGAAGACCGAGACATCGAGAAGGCCTTTGTCGTAGAGGCGCCCCCGGATGTGGAATGGTGGGATCAGGGCCTCATTGACGGCAATGACTACAGCAACATTCCCGACTCGATAAAAGTCAACACTCCCGACAGCGTTGTCACCATTTACATTCAGCACCCAGTCGCCATCGAGCCACCACAGGACAAGCTCGCCGCTGAGCCGAAACCCATGTACCTTACGCCCAAGGAGCAACAGAAACTGCGTCGCCAACGCCGCATGATGGAGCTTAAGGAGAAGCAAGCCAAGATCCGTCTCGGTCTGGAGCCGGCCCCGCCACCCAAGGTCAAGAAGTCGAACCTGATGCGCGTGCTGGGCGAGGAAGCTGTCAAGGACCCGACGGCCGTCGAGGCGCGCGTCAACCGTGAGATCCAGGAGCGCTTCGACAAGCACATGCAATCCAACGAGGAGCGCAAGCTCACAAAGGAGCAACGGCACGAAAAGCTCGCTCAAAACCAGCAAAAGGACGTACAAAAGGGCGTCCATACGCTCGTCTTCAAGATTGGTAGTCTAGCCAATGGCAAGCACCGCTTCAAGATTGGACAAAATGCCCAACAGCACGCGCTCACGGGCACGTGTATCATGCACCCCAAGTTTTGCCTCGTGATTGTAGAGGGCGGCGAGCACAGCGTCAACGCGTACAAGAAGCTAATGATGCGTCGCATCGACTGGACCGAGAGCGTGCCCTCGCTTGATAAGGAACCTAGCGCGTCCGGTGCGGCGGTGAGGGAGTGGCTGAAAGCGGAGGATGAGCAAGGCATGTTGAAGGACTTGTCGAATAACAAGTGCCAACTCATATTTGAGGGCGAGTCCAAGACACAGTCATTCAAGAAGTGGAGCAGCAAAGTGTGTGAGACGGACCAGGAGGCCAGAGAATTTCTGTCTCAGATGAAGATGGAGAACTTTTGGACACAGGCGAAGAACACGCCGAGCCATGTATAACTGCGATGTTGAAAAGGATACAGTCTGCTTTTTTGCCAGTCGGATGATGGTCCGATTTTGTTGGACGAAAAGAGAGAGGGCATCATACTTAGCTCCGCTAGACTATGAATAAAACAAATAACACGAGTAACTTGAGAGTCTTGAACACGGGTCACTTTCAAGTCGTTGACATTCGTGCAGTGATGGAAGACTGGCATCGTGGATGGGATCTGCGCACCCCATGGGGATCTTAGTTTCCTGGTTTGTTGTTTCCCCACACAAGGCGAGCTATTGAGTGAGGGGTTGCAATCGGGATTAACTCTCACCACCTCGGCTCTTGTCTGTCATTGTTTTCCAAAACCCGGGCTAGACTCGTCACGGGGTATTCCTTTCGTGTCACCATATAAATACCTCCAGGGAAGCTGTTTGACATCAAACTGTTTTGGTGCTAGTTGTTCTCATCTCAGACCAAACTATCTAGTATTCCTCCTTTTCGGTCCAGCACTAAGAAGCTGACAGACACAATGGTTCCCAAGCCCAAGATCACGCTCTACCTCGATACTGTTAGCCCGTTCGCATACGAGGCGTATCACATTCTGCGAGTATGTACAACTAACCTGCAAGTTCATCGGTTCAAGTAGAATCAAGCAAGCAAGGAATCGCTCATGTCATATCTCCACTCGTTAGAACGACCCAATCTTCAAAAATGTCGACATCAAATACGTGCCCATCTTCCTCGGTGGCTTGATGAACAAGGTCCGTCTGTCTCATCCATCCCGCTCCCTCCCATTCATCACATCCTCACACATAATACTAACGTATGTCACACACCAAACTCACCCGCCGCAGTGCTCCAACACCCCACCCATCAAGATCAAAAACAAAGACAAATGGATCAACGTCGAACGCCTCCGCTGGGCCCATGCCTTCTCCGTTCCCATCGTTACCGACATGCCGCCCAACTTCCCACCCAACACGCTCCCCGTCCAGCGGGTCCTAGCCGGCATCGAAGCCTCTCAGTCCCAATCCGCAGTCATCGCCGCCCTCGACGCCCTCTACAAAGCCTTCTGGGCCGTCGGTCAGCCCATCTACGAACCCGCCCAACTGCGCTCCGTCCTTGCCTCTTCCCTCGGTGGGGAAGAAGCGGCGGATAAGGTGTTGGGAGCATCACAGACTGCGGAAGTCAAGCAACGATTGGTGGAGAACACGGATAAGGCGTTTGCGGAGGGAGCGTTTGGGTTACCTTGGTTCACGTGCACTAATACGAAAGGGGAGACGGAGGGGTTTTGGGGGGTTGATCATTTGGGACAGGTGGTGCAGTTTTTGGGGCTGGATAAGGGGGTGAGTGGGAATGGAGGGTGGAAGTCGGTTTTGTGAGGGGGTGAAGGAGGGAGGTGGTTGAGTGAAGCTGGGAGGAGAGGGAGGCGTGGGATCACAGGACAGGCAGGCATGATGGGGCAGGCTGTGTAGTTGTGAAGCTGTAATAAGCGGTAGTGGTAGTTGATGTGAAGGTATTCCCAAATACAAGATCATACATTTACGCGTCATCGACCATTTCGATCGAGTGCATCATGAACATGACCTAGTGTTGCTGAAGCCATCATAACTCACAGCAGGCTGTCAGGTCTGTTATAGATCAAGACTTGGATGAACCATTATCTCCACAGAACCCATCGGGTGGAGCATTTTCACGCGCGGCTCGGTAGACCGCCGAAGGGCGAACCCTGTCACAACCAAGTGCGAACGGACGCGTCTCAATATGCGGGTCACAGTGATGTTTATGTCAAAGTCACGTCGCGTTCACATGAATGCAACTTGAACGCGTTCGTCACTTCTACGACTACTACTGGCATTCATGGCGATGTTTATGGCAGTCCTAAATCGCTAGGTAGCTAAACTCCCATGATTTGCGCTTGCTCCAAAACTCCATTCTCATCTATCATCAAAGCAGGCAGGCAGGCATACGGTGGTGAGAATGGTTGTCAGGAAGAAAAAAGGTAAACGTGCAATGTCTGTCGACAGGGTATCGTGTGATCATGAACCAGGCCCTTTATTAGACCAAATCCGCCATCAGCGCTGCCGTGCAAAGCCATCCGTCCTTTTGTTCCGGTGCTCGCCAGCCGCTGTGCCCGCGTTGTAATGTACAAGCCATCAAGTACTAAGATGAAGAGAGAGAAAATGTAGTATCATCGCAATCAAGAACGCCGGATTACCCCCCATGTGTTGTGCCGTGAATGAAAATCCATCAACTCAGACGCGCATTCCCAAATGTAGTGCGAAGTGTGACGCGAGAAAAGTTGTCATGACCGCCCCGTGATATAACCCCAGAATCTGACTAGACTACCCCGAAAACCCAAAGCAAACTACTCCATGTCGAAGAGTCGCTTAGTTGCGCTCACCGCGAAGACGGCGGGCGAGCTGGATGTCCTTGCTCTGGATGGTGACACGCTTAGCGTGGATAGCGCAGAGGTTGGTATCCTCGAAGAGGGAGACGAGGTAGGACTCGACGGACTCCTGGAGAGCACCGATAGCAGAGCTCTGGAAGCGGAGGTCGGACTTGAAGTCCTGGGCAATCTCACGGACCTGTGTAGCGACGCGTTAGCAACGTGAAAGGGAAAGTGACATGTCGGTGACAGGCATCATAAACTTACGAGACGCTGGAAGGGGAGCTTGCGGATCAGAAGCTCAGTGGACTTCTGGTAGCGACGAATCTCACGGAGAGCGACGGTACCGGGCTTGTAACGGTGGGGCTTCTTGACACCGCCGGTGGAGGGGGCGGACTTGCGGGCAGCCTTGGAAGCGAGCTGCTTACGGGGGGCCTTGCCACCGGTGGACTTGCGGGCGGTCTGCTTAGTGCGGGCCATTGTGATGGTTTATGTGTGTTGATAAGGTGTTTTGTTGATGGATGGGCGATGATTAAGTGATGACCTGCGCTGGTGGTCGAGACTGGTTGATGACTAGAAGGAGAGGCGGGAGTGGAAAGGGGGAAAAGTGGTGGGGGGTGCGAGGTTTATGTATGTGCGGACTGGGGTCAGGTGCTGGCTGATTTGGGTGAATGGGTGGTGCGGCGCGTTGTGTGGCTGCTGCCTTTCGGTTTTTTCGCCTTCCTTGCTCATTCCGCTTTTTCCTGGTTGATTTGCAACTCTCATTATTTTTTTGGGTTGCGGGCGACCAAACCGGGGGCTGAACCGGGGTTCGTTTTGCACTGATAACTGCCCTTGGTTTTGCTGGCAAAACAGCGCTGTTTTGGGTGGTTAAATTGGAGCGTGCTCTGCTGACGCGGGTTTGCAGAATTATGATTGGTCCAAATATCTTAAATAGCGACGCACAGGCCACCTCAAAGCTGGGGTTAGTAGTAGTAACACCGAGCGACTAACGCATTCGTAGTTCGGCACTCCAGCCGTCTAATTCACTGCGTGCAACATTGCCCGTCTGTGGAATGGGTGAATGGACACAAGACCAAATCAAAGGTACAAAGGTACAAACCCAACATTCGCCCATAGGGCTGGGAAGGTGAATGCTCCTGAAGGTTAAAGATTTGCATATCTGGCACCAGGCCCAGCCCAATTCCTCCGTTGTGCAAGGAATCACATACAAGGCCATAGATGCCATTACGTACAGGGAGCATACCTATAGGAGGTTGAAGCTTGAGCGAGGATCGTGAAGATGGAAGAACTGCCTCATACGACAGAGCGCTTGCTAGAATAGCCCCAAGACTTGCTTTCTTTGTTCACTGTTTCGGTTGGAATTTATTGAGTACAGGTGCTCGTTTTGCTCCTCAAAGTCTCTGGACCAACTGGAACACTCGAGATCGTAAGTTCAACGCTTGCTCTATGTACAGTCACATCTACCATTCAGTCACGAAACGCCCGCATGTAGATGTCTCACAGCTCTAGCTTCATTATAGGGAGTCTGTCCATCGCTGTAGCGAACAGTACTTTCCACTACAGTCTCTTCGCGACAGTCCTCGTGACAGTCACTTATCACGGAGGACGAGAGGCAGCCATAGCAGTCCAGATCTACAGAATGCCACATACACATTTCTCTTTGTTTCAGAGTGTACTCTGACGTGGAAGGTTCAACGCCACGATTCATCATCAAGAGCATGCCTCGTCCAGGACTGGAACTCTTCCGTCAACCCTCTTCGAATGACTAAGAAGACTACTAGGGTTTGTAGAGTTGCCACTCTCAGGTCCCGGATGGGTCTTTCCGCTAAAAGGACGACAAGGCTGATGGGACCGACCGACTGATGCACATGGTACGGTATCCAAAAGGGAGAATGGATGTTCACTGCGGGTCACCTCTCTGTGGTGAAGGTGGTGTGTCAGGATAACAAAGTAGAACTGGCTGGTGACTGGGCTGTGACACTGACGTGAAACTGCTGCCCAGCGAGTGCCAGAGTGTTGCTGCCCTGCCACTTCACCAGTTTGGATGCGGTCCCCCGGATCTCTGGATGTGCCACCCGAACGGTACGTACCGATGGTCAATCCCTGTGCTGCTCCGGCGAAAATAGACGACCCTTGTTTAGCAGCTGAGAGCAAAAGTCCTGTTTGGGTTTAGCGACTTTTGATTAGTGTTCACCTTGATGCGCGAGGTGAACCACTCTGAAAATGTAAAGCGTGGAGAAATGTTCATTGGCTGATATTGATTCGAGGTGGGACTGCACGTCTTCAAGCTGCGTGTTGTGTCGTCCGTTCCCCTGCAAGGAACGTGCGCCTCGGAACCGCGTCTCCCAAAATCAGCCAAGGGAGTTGACGGAGTTTGCGCAAAGTGGAGCTCCAGAGCCTCTGTTCAACCAATCACCAGCAAGATCAGTGATCTGATTTGATTCCCACCGCCCTGCATGCCGCAACCGCGTTCCCGTACTTAAAGTCCGCTCTCTTCCCCGCCTTCTTCCCACCTTCCACGACTTCCAATCTCCCAAACGACCGGCTTCAGCCTTACCACCTACACCACTTTCACTTTCACCCCCCCCAACACACATCAAAATGACTGGACGTAAGTTGTCTTTGAAGATCGCCAACACCGTGTGTTGTAACATCATGACTGACCAGTATCTCTTCATCAGGCGGCAAGGGCGGCAAGGGCCTCGGAAAGGGCGGTGCCAAGCGCCATCGCAAGATTCTTCGTGACAACATCCAGGGTATCACCAAGCCCGCTATCCGCCGTCTCGCTCGTCGTGGTGGTGTCAAGCGTATCTCTGCCAGTACGTTATGATCTTCGAGCAATCCCTGTATCCCATGGATGGTCAACTAACATGTCAACCTTCAACAGTGATCTACGAGGAGACCCGTGGTGTCCTCAAGACCTTCCTCGAGGGTGTCATCCGTGATGCCGTCACCTACACCGAGCACGCCAAGCGCAAGACCGTCACCTCCCTCGACGTTGTCTACGCCCTCAAGCGCCAGGGCCGTACCCTCTACGGTTTCGGTGGTTAAATGTCTCGCCGTCATTAGCCAGCGTGTCTTTTTTCTTTTTTCTTCACCATAACGACGACGCAAATCACAATCACGTCTTCTCCCATCACCAACACAGAATCATCATGATGTTTATATACCACCAAAGTCGTCGTCTTTTATCATGATGATGACGATGATGTCACTACCGCCACCACCACCACATTAAACAACCGGCAACAACACGACATCCAGGATGGGGGAAAAGGAGGGCGGTTGATGTTCGGTCCCCTTTTGCACCACACTTCACTTGGTTGCAGCGTTCCATCTCACGATTGTCATTTTTCGGGTTTCATCACGCGCAAAGGAGGGGTCTCTTTTTTTATCACATGCTCTGTACATCACATCAAGGGGTCATTCACAATAGGGGTGTTACTACTTTTGCAACTTTTTTGAGCGCTTAATTGACTCAAAACGCCCTCTGGGTTTTCTGGAGGGTGATTCCAACCTGTTTGATGATCCTCTTTGTGTCGAGTGGAAATGCTGTCTGCTATGTATTGCTGTCTTAACGCGTGTTTTTTGTGTGTACGTGTAAACGGAACCGCGTGCCAGTCGCGTCCGGTGGGCTTGCCCCAGTTTTGCTTGAAACCTTGGCCGCTGGGCGAGCTGGAGCCTTTGGTTGAACTGTTCGCTCGAAGAGGGGACCCATGTGTTGGTGCGCCAGCGAACATGCGGTTCGCGGAGAGCACAGATATGTAGTGTGACCGAAACTCCTGTCCATGTTTTCAGTACTCGCATTTTGACAATCCCAAAGCAGTTTATATGTATGTGCTTTACAGACCGAAAAATTCCCAAGCCTATTGCATCTATCGTGTATAAGTATAATTTGTGTGCCTACGGACATCCGACACATGTACATCTATATACTAGTCAAGCTCAAATATGGAGACGGAACTTGACGACAACACGATCTACCTCCATCCAGCTCTATCCCGTTTGGTCCAGGAACGTCATGGAAGAACATGATCTACATCCAAGGTGGCAGCCAACCACCTGCACACACCCCCTCCCCAGCTGATCCAAAGCAGTGGCAAACTTTGCTCCTTAAAATGTGCCTGACACGGAAACACTGGTGGGAGACCCCCGATCAAAAAGATGGGGGGAAAAGGGGGAGGGATGGTGAGTCTGAGCGTAAAACAGATCGGATTTCATGCTTCGTCTGAACTTGTGGACACACCCGAAGCACCTTACCAGTATGATGTAACCCTGTCGAGTCTTTCGGTAGTACCTTTGATACCTGTCACTTTAGCTTGCTCCAGTTTCTCTTTTTTTTTTTCTTCTTTCTTGCGCCTCTTCATCGTGTGTAGGTGAGTTCGCACATAGGTGTGCTTGTGCATGGAACAAAAGTTTGATTCTTGGATAAAAACTGTATAGACTCAGGAAAACTACCTAGCTACAAGGTTGTAAATCAAATGTAAAGCTAGCATTAAGTTGGTTTCTTTTTTAAACAACACATAAGTGGTTGTTCGGCATTTTAATATTGTCTGTCCGATTCTGGTTTTCCAGGGTTCACTAGTAGACTAGAACTATCTTGAAGAACCTCAGCTGAACATCTATCATGTATGAGCAGATGACACTATCAAATATATCTGCAAGGGTTAGACAACTTCAAAGACTAAGTGCCGAGCCATACTCAAGGTATTTCCTCATCACTAAAAGGCTCATGCAATAACTTGAAGCTAGGTAGTTCGCTGTTCTTGGATTGTCTTGCGGTCACTTCAGGTTGTTTCTTTTCTTCCACATATCATCAAAAGTTAGATAGGCTGACCTAAAACTTAAATAAACTTTGTCTGTATTTTTTATAAACGTAGTGATCAACGTTTGTCATCAACGTTTGTCCACTTGTAGATAATCGATCTCCAGGGTCATTCTTGAAGTTATCTAGAGGTATTTGGTAATTCTGATTCAGTCATGGTTATGCTACCAAGCACCAAGTGAGTAACTTTCCGGTTCAGAAGCATACTGATAACACATGAACCTCTTTCCTCTTGCCATTGTTGTCGGTCCTTCATTGTGACAACGTCAACTCGCCAACGTGTCATTCCCGAGCTACCGAGGTACCAATCTAGTAGCAGGTTCGACGGCTAGCATCAGCCGTGCCGTTATGGGCCTCATGCACGAGGTAACTTTTGTGGGTGGCTTCTATCTACGGATATACTTGAGATGGTTTGTGTTCTGGGATCGAACTCTCGTTCCTTTCTAGAATTAGAGTATAAATTCAACCCTCCTATCGAGCCTTCCCTTTTGAGATTTACTTTTTTCTTGAACTTCTTGTCTTCAGTCCATGTTAGTTATCGGTAGTACAATCATCGATTGCACATTGTACCTACCCATCCCTGACCAAGCTGTGATAGCAGGACATCCAGAAAATTCAATCACTTGTGTAAGTTCAAGTCAATCCAGTCAGGTCTGTGATTTGGTCTACTCACTCACCTCAAGTTCAGGTTCAAGTTCAGGTTCAAGTTCAAGTTCAAGTTGAGGATTCACTGTGACTCCATTGCTTTCATTGCCAGCTGTCTGTCAGTACTCACCATCTCACATAGGAAAAGTCGAGCAGGATTTTGAGTGATTTCCCAGGTGAACATGGTGGTAAGAAATCCGACGGATCAATATATATGTAGTTAGGTTTAGCTTATTGAGGAGGCTGCTTGACTTGTTCCCCGGAGTTTCAACACAGCCAAGAATCATGTTAGACGAGAGAATGAGAATTTTCAAACTATAACCCTAAAGCCTAGCACAGTGGCCTCGAAGAAAAATGACCAACATGACCGACCCATGGCGGTTTGTTCTTTATCAAGAGACTGTTGAATATTCTGCTTAGTCAAATCTCGATCTGCCGGTCAACACCAAAGGAACCTAATAAACAAAGCACTTGAACAGACACGAAAATTGAAGTGTTCAAGGCACCTTTAGCGCCATCCTCCCACCCGTTCCAAACGCACAGTCATACGTGATGTATAAATTATACCATACCGTCCTGCCCTAAAGTACCCTGGCTACTCTTGTAGTGTACCGCAGAGGGTACACGTGGGCTCGAGACAGCAATGGCCCTAAGCTCTAAATATAGGGATGAGGGCTGGCTTCATCTCAGGCTTGCGGGCTCAGCCTGTGATTGACGTTGTATCCACCTAGCAACAATTCTCAACCATGTGTGCAAAAGTTGATGGACTCACATCTGGTGTCAGATGTGAAATCAGGGCATGTTGGGACTGCTCTCGTGTGACAGTCCATACATAGCTTTACCCAGGGGTCATGACGCCACGTGAAAATCCGGATCGACAAAGATCAAAACATGCAGACGTCGTTGACGGTCCGATCCGAACATGGAAAATGGGGTTGCTAGTGGAAACCACCATACCTTGAGCCTATCACGCCTCTTGATCTTGTGCTCTGGTCTCTCACGAAAGCTTCCAAAGGTGACCGACAGATAAGCATCATCTCCTGCAGCAAAAGCGGCGTGGACGTGGCAGAGTCAAGGCGAACCGGGTAAAACTGGAGCATTCCACCTTCACCATGAAAACGCCCAAGTAAGGAGGGGCAATATGATGCAGCGGATCCGATTGGGAACAGCCACTTGATCGAACCCAGCTTTGAGTTGTCCTGGTTGAAACACTTTCCCGTGTCCTGCATCCATACTCCTTCCCTCTCCGTGGGGCTGAAATGAGCATAAACCGCGGGACGGAGAGGAAAAGAACGGAACGGAGAGGAAGGTAAAAGCAAGGCAAGGTAGAGGAAAACAGACGTCAGGTGGTGTTTGCTCGTGTGTATCGTCTCCATCCGGCCCTCTTTTCGTGGGGTCAGATCTGAGGATCCGGGGATCTCTGCCCCCAGATCTGGGGCGTGTTCCGGACCCGACACCTGGAGTGGCTTCGAAGGGGGGGTTTCTGGAAAAGTGGCCCTGAAGTACTTCCCCGTATGTACACAACACGGGGCAGAAACCTGATTTCTGGATGTGGTCACTCTTTTACATGTCTCTTTCAACAGCTTTTCAAAGTTCATTGAACGTGGAAAGGACTCAGGACTTGAGGTCAGGTGCTCCACTGGGCTGAATTTGGAGTTCGACACGCTGTGGTTGGTTGCCTTGGCAGCCGAATAACGGATCTCCCAGTGCGCCCTGAAGCCACTGCCGATCCCAGACTTTCCAGCTTGTCAACCGCGCAATGAGGATGAGAACGACAGGATTGAAGTCACTTGAGATTCAAATCCTTCAGCTTTTTCAAGCACCGATTCCACGCTTCCCCTTGGGGTCGTAGCGCAGCATCGAACCACAGCAATGGAAATGTGTCTCCGATATCGGGTGTGCGAAGTCGCAATGTCGTCAAATTGACCCGATTTTTTTTTTAATGGAAACCAGATGCCTGCCCGGGCTGTGCGGTTTTTGGAGCTGTTGTGCAGTAGTAGCAATGTTTTGCCTATGTCTTTCTGTTAGCAATGATAAAATAAGATAAAAATGAAAATGCACAAAAAACATTTCGCTGCTTCAAGCTGTGTTGATACTCATGCCGGCGATTTGCTCCGGACAATCACCGGACCCTGAAAGCCAGTCGGCGCCGTTGAAATCCTTGTTTTGGCAACCGTTTCATCATCAGAACCAAGCAAGTGGGAAGGGTCCTGTCTTGATTCTTGGATTCTGGGGACTCCGCGGGGATGGGCTGCACAAGTGGGCAAGCTCCGAAGCCCAGCTCGCGGTGTGTTGCAGCACAGACTGCAACGACGCACAGCACACCATACATGAACTGGCGGCCACACGTGGCAGATCATTTTCCTTTTTTTTTTGACGAGGCCCGGTCTTGAGGGCGCAAGCCCCAATTGACGCCCGACATGACGCTTGATGTGGCCGTGCGGGTCTGTCCAGTCGGGCCGGGTGTGAGGCGCAAGTGCTCCGCAGTTTTGCAGTGCAGCCAGGAAAATGGCACACCCGCTCCCGCCTTTGTGTGTGACCCTCATTACGCGTGCGTGCGTGCGTGCGTGCGGTCAAATCGTGGAGAGCCTGGGGATGGACGCACTGGCGGGCGGGCAAGGGGGCGCCCTCTGAAAAATCCCCCATCTTTTCCTACCTTGTTCACAGCGCCGCGTGCCGACTGGAGTGAAAAACGGCGCAAAAGGAACCCACTTTCTCCCACTTTCTCCCCTCGTTTTCGTTCCCTTTTCCCCGCGCAAAGGCCCCCGAGTGGACACATGCAGCGGTACATCGTGGCCATTTCCAAGGTTGCGGGTGAGCTCGCGGGGTACCAAAACCAGAAAGTTGGTTAAAGTAAATGCTGTGAGAGTTGAACATGATGTAAAAACGAGGGATTGTGATCGTAAGCAGGAAAATGATTGACTGATGAAATGTGTGCAAATGACGTTGGAGTCCACACAACAGAGCCTTACGTTGTGTTTCGCAAGGAAATTGCCTCCCTTTTCTTCGATCTGGGCTCCCGATAATGCTCACGAGACCACGTTCCGGTTAAATGCTTCTATTTATCCAAAATACCCAGCCAATTAGAGGCCAGGCAGCTGTTTATCCTACAGCCGACTCGGTAACAGCTGCTCATAGTCCCTCGGTCCATGACATTGTCGAGCTGGAACACTGAGCAGTATAAGTGATTGCAATGCCCTATTTTGCGTGAAGAAGTGACACCTGGCGAAGTAATGCTCGTTGAGCCTGTTCAAATCGCAAAAGTCGCAGTCGCAACATGGAAGGAATCTCGAAAAACGCACGAACCAATCGCGCCCAATTCGGGAGGTGACCACGATACACTCAGATTCTCTCCGCGTCCAGCTTCCCCAACATCCCGCAGCGACCCGATGGCCCTTTGGCTTCTCGAACACCCCGTCTCCGGCTCCAACGCATCTCCAGTACTCCAGGTCCGAGAATCTCACCACTCCCCATCGCATCCCCATATTGCTGCCGACTCCGTATCTTGAGCTACCCCCTGGGACCAGAGCAGAGACAGGCGATCCCCCACAGCCCAACGAAAAGAAAGGGGGTGCGACGACGCAACGGTACATCACACGACACACACAGCAGCGCAGCGCGGTTAGCGGCCCTGTTACCCGATCACCGAGGCACAACAATTCCCCGAGCCGGCGGAGGTACGACAAGATTCGATTGGATCCTCCCATCCGGGGTAAGAGAAAATTTGGTCTGGTCAGGCGGACGGCGGAACGGCGTCAGCACAGTTCAGAAAAAAAAACACGGCATCAGCGTGGCGAAATTGGACCCCCTGGTACGGAACTCCGTTTTTGCGTTTTTTTCGACGACGACGTGGTGGATGTTTTGAGGTTGCGACCTTGCACTGCAAGTCCACAATGCTCACGGAATCCTTTCGGTGTTCTTGATTTGGGAGTGTTGGCACTGGAGACGGGCCGATAAGGGTCTCCAAGCGATGGAGCCTCGGTCTCCACCAATGAAGCGCAGCTCAGGCCATGGTGTTTGCAAAAAATGAACAGGAGACGCGCAGGAGGAAGAGATTTCGCGGTAAAAAAAAAGGTTTGTCGAGAAAGCAGAGTTAAGAGCAAGTGCACGGCGGTTGACCAAAACGAAGCGACAGGATATGTCGAATTGGGCGTCTGTTTTTGCCTTTTTGAATGCGGTTTCGAGGTGTTTTGTCAGCCGCTTTGAAACAGCCGCGAAAACGGCAGCAAAGTTCCGGCCCCCTGACGAATAGGATCTTCATGATTGGATCGGAGTCCGGGTGTTCCCACTTTTTCCTTGGCCAGCTGATCTTGGGTGATTCTGCCCCTGGCAATCTGGCACTCTACTAACGCAGTACGCGGGAATAGCGACCCGGCGGTTTGACCGACAGTGAGATCACCGTCATGCCACCATCTTTACAATTGCCCGGCAACGGCGTTGACCGGTACTGCGAGTGCACCACCGCCCACGCTCGGTAACGCTACGTTTTGCCAAGCAAGTTATAGTCGCTTGCTGGCTTCTCACGTTTCAGAGGCAATGGGAAAAGTCCAAATGTTCTGTGGGAAGATGTTCTTCGGATGCATTACAACGGCGAGTCTGCCCAAAGACCACGTCTGCAGCGCGGGCAGGATACCATGACATGGACGGTGTTTTGGCGGCGGGCCTTCTATGATGAGATGGAGCCATTACATTACTGCTTTGCGTTGTTGATGGAGGAAGACGGCCCTTTTTTTCTATTAGTTTGGCCGCGGACATGGTCGTCGGTTGGAAACGGTTTGGATTTGCGATCCACCATTCCACAATGACTGACCGTCGTGTGTTAACCGTACGTTGTACTGCGTATTACGAAGGACCAGACTGGAGGGCACAAGACCGTGTCGTATTCTCTTGACAATTACACAGTCTGGCAACATGACACAACATCGGGTCGGTAGTAACTCGAAGCGAGTGTCTCGAGTGCCACGACACATGGCGCCGTTGGATCCCCAGGAGTTTGTTGATGGAAATCCAGTGTCGGCATGACAAAAGCACCAGACCATAGCATATTGAAGGTATTACAGTCTCGTTTGAAGAAATGTAGTGTAGTAGCCTCAACCATCATCAATGTCATCATTGCAGTAGCAACTGCATTTACAAACTTGGTGGTTGTTCTCGTCGGGCTTCATCCTGGTGGCCCTGACACCGACGTCTGACAGTGTGAACCAAGCTGAGGCCGAATCCAATCCTCTGGATACGGTGTATGTATCCTCGGTAATCTCTTGTCCAGGCTCCATGAACTGGGTGAGATGGATAGCAGGGCTTTAATTTGGCCGAACTGTACATATTCATATACGTACTGACTCTCTTGCTAGCACGGCTCATGTGACAGGGGTCGGTAGAACAGCACAGAAAAATAACGAGACAACGACACTCAACGCAACAAATTGGACAGACTATCTGGAGCCCTCGAAGCGCATAGGGTTGATACCAATTTTGCGCATGAAAATTGGTGAAGTGGTGGTTGAGTTGGGCAGAGGAGTGCATAGTGAAGTTCCGCGCTAACGCACGTTCCAGTGCAAGGGGAACAGTGTAGTGTACATGGTAATTGACGCAGCCGTTCGTCTTGCATGCAGGTGGAATTTACCATAGTAAGAGGAATTTGATGATGTCCGTTTCTGTAACATTCAGCGAACAGAAACTTCAAAAACCTCTCAGTGGAATACACTAGGTTTTCTGATGGATGTGTCTGGCAGAGGGAGCCCCATCCAGGATCTTGTAAGCGCAGGTGGCTAGGGCCCAATGCGACCGGAAATTGGATGAGATTCAGCAGGATCGTGTTCATCGTTTTCGGAATGTTGTGCCGAGGGTCTACGATTCAACGTCACTGGTCCCCTTTTGACCATGTCGAAGCCCTGCAAACAGATGGAAAGTGTAGTGTAGTCCCTTGTAGTCGTTTCTCGTAATCTTCATCGGTGCTTCTGGGGTTCTGCTTCTTGGGAGACCGCAAAAGGAGCACTTGTGACACTTCACGAGTTTGTGGCGATCATTTCACGGGATGAAGTTTCTTTTGGGTTGGCACGTTGGAGCTGTGCCCCCAAGACGTTTTAGCGCCGCGGTAGGTTGACGGGTCTTGGCCTTCGTTGGGATGAGAGGAGCCGCATCTCGGCACATTCCCGCTCCTTTTGGTTACAGTACGTACCGCCAAGACTTTAGAGCCCGCTAATGGACTCGAGGATTGTCGACGTCATCCGAAAACTGCAAAAGGCTTTGGAAAAACGTTGGCGGACGAAAAATTCCAGGCGGGCGCCAGGGCGTTCCTTACCTGGACATGCCGACGGCCAGGGATTGTACCTTTTCGGCATCAATGACGGCACTAAACTTCTTTCACCTTTGTAACTTTTGTAATTTGCATACGTAGAGTAGGTATTCTCAACGGGCGTCCGACGGGCGTCTGATTTTGAGGGCGAGTTCTCCTTCTCGCATTGCTCATGGCACTGCACTGAACCGGGCCCAAATCCCCTTCGCTTCCTCCCACCGCCGAAATCATCAGACACATGAGGCGTCGCCATCTCCTTTTCAAACCAGATGACCATCACGGTTTTATTCTGCAGTAATCTGCCGAGCCATCTCACCGGATGCCTTGTGTTTTGCAGCAGGGTTTCACGCCCGGAGCAAAATGTGGCAACTGCACCAATCGTGTTGAAGCGCGCTTGCGATTTGTCGGTGGCGTACTCCATTTGGTGGCACTTGCGCTTTGGCCTCAATCGGGAAAGAGGAGCCATGTAAGTGCAGCATCGGAATTGTAGAGGTACCGTAGGTACCTTAATTCACGATCTGAGGTGAACTTTTCAAGTGAGGTTTGCCGCTGGTTGAGGATCTGGACCACAACACTCCGGGCCAGAGTTCACCCAGTCAAGGAGAAATGGCGACTGCGTGCTCTGGAGCATGCCTTTCCCCCCAAACAGAGCCGAAGGGAAGCCTTGGCTTCAAGGAAACAGCAGTCGGGCCGTCCGTCTCTCTTTCCACTTCTCAAACGGAAGGGCCGAGAACTGAACCATTGCATTTTTTTCACGTTACGGTCATGTAACAGCCAACGGTGCCCGATCCCCGGTCTGTTCGGCTCTCTGGGGGAGTGTGCAGAAGATTTTTTAGCGTAATGTGGGCAAATGGTACGGGGATGTCTCCAGACGTGCGAGATGTGGGAGCAGGCTGGAGAGATGGTACCGTACCTTCTCCGTAACTCTCTGCATTGCATCAGCATCCCCAGTCGAGCCCCCCCCCGCGCCCACTCTCCCGCACCCACACGCACCCCGTCCTTTGGGAGACTTTTCGAGATGCACACCCCCCTTCTTTTTTTCCCCCTTCCAGGCTGCTCGCGACCCGACATACGTCGATTGTGGAGTCTGGTCTTCTGACATGAACCCTCTGTACCTTCCCTGCTTCTTTCAACCTCGATCGACCTTTCCTAGGCCATGCACTGCGTGGGTCGGCGTCGATGGATCCCCAGCTTTTAGGTCATTTCCAATTCACCGACTCGCAGCTGCTTCTTTCCCCAGTTTAAGCATCCAACAATTGGGGCCCCGATGGCAACTCGAGGGACATAAATGTAAGGCCCTGTCCACACTCCGAATACTTCTTCCCATCATCTCGTGTTCTTTTGAACCTCCATTCTTCAAACAACTTCCACTCCTCCATCAAAGCCCTTAAAGGTTCACACTCCTACCATCCACCATCCACCATCCACTGTTTGGTCGTTGGAGTATCTACCACTTTTCGCTGTTATCAGCCACCTTTCTCCACCCAACCAAGATCTCGAACAACGGATGAAAGACTTGAGGATATAAATACAACGATACGATCACAACAATGGGTCTCTTCTCGAAAAAGTCGGCTGCGCCGCAGACCCAATCACAAGATGAGATCGATCTCGCTGCTGAGCAGAAGGTCACTTTCCGTGCCGTCTTCCTCGGTGTTGTCGCCTCCGTAGGTGGCTTCATGTTTGGCTACGTCAGGTACGTTTTCTCTTGGCACCCCTGTTGCCCCATTGACATGGTACATGGTTACTGACCATTTATGGACAACAGTGGTCAAATTTCTGGTTTCTTCGACATGGAAGACTTCGGTCGCCGGTTCGGTAACTACCAAGACGCGGACGGCTGGGTCTTCTCAGCATACCGCCAGGGTGCTATTGTCGCCCTACTCCCTGCTGGTGCCCTCCTTGGTTCGCTCGTTGCTGGCAGGATTGCGGATACCCTCGGTCGCCGTATCGCCATCTCTTCGTCCGCCCTTTTCTCCTGCATCGGAACAATCATTGAGATCGCCTCCACCACGCACTGGGCCCAGTTTGCGGTCGGTCGTCTTATCACCGGTATTGGTATCGGTGCTCTCTCCGTCGTCGTCCCGATGTACCAGTCTGAGTCCGCGCCCGCCATTCTCCGTGGTATCCTCGTCTCGTGCTACCAGCTCTTCATCACTCTTGGTATCTGGACCGCTGAGATGATCAACTACGGTACTCACGACCTCAACAACTCCGCCTCTTGGCGTATTCCCAACGGTATCTCCTTCCTCTGGGCCTTGGTTCTCGGTGGCGGAATATTGTTCCTTCCCGAGTCTCCTCGTTATGCCTACCGTGTTGGTCGCGAGGACGAAGCTCGCAACACCATTGCCCGCCTTGCCGGTCTCGAGCCCAGCGCCCGCTCTGTCAACATGCAAATCGATGAGATCCGTATGAAGCTCGAGGAGGAGAAGGCTGGTGCCGACACCAAGTGGTACGAGATCTTCGGACCTGCTCTGTTGCGCCGCACCCTCATTGGTATCATTCTTCAGTCTGGCCAGCAGCTTACTGGTGCCAACTTCTTCTTCTACTACGGAACCACGATTTTCAAGGCTACTGGTTTGAGCGACTCTTACGTTACCCAGATCATTCTTGGTTCCGTCAACGCTGGATGCACTGTTGCTGGTCTCTGGGTTGTCAAGAATGTTGGCCGCCGCAAGGCCCTCATCGGTGGTGCCCTCTGGATGACCATGTGCTTCCTGGTCTACTCTTTCGTCGGAAGATTTGTGCTCGACCCCGTCAACCCGGCTAGCACTCCTCAGGCCGGCAACGTCCTCATCGTCTTCTCCTGCTTCTTCATCGTCGCCTTTGCCACCACTTGGGGTCCTCTCGTCTGGGCCGTCGTTGCTGAGCTCTACCCTGCTCGCTACCGTGCTCCTGCTATGGCCTTGGCCACCGCTTCCAACTGGCTGTGGAACTTCCTCATGTCTCTCTTCACGCGCCCCATCACCGACTCCATTGGCTACTTCTATGGCTTGGTGTTCGCCGGATGCTGCCTTGCCCTCGCCGCATTCGTTTGGCTCTTTGTGATCGAGTCCAAGGACCGCACCCTTGAGGAGATCGAGACCATGTACAACCAGAAGGTCAGCCCTAGGCACTCCAACCACTGGCACGCTGAGGTCCCTTCGGGCTCGCGTGATGCGGAGGAGAAGCCCGAGGTTCACAGTGGTTCTGCGACAACCTCGAGCCATGGAGAGGTTTAGAATGCGTCCAAGTGAAACGGTTCTCGTTCTGAAGCGAATTCAGAGGTTGCGAGAGTCGATTAGGGATTGTATGATGACTTGACATGCACCAAAAATGGAATGCAGTAGTCAGTCATGGTAATTGGGTTTGAAAGGATAATGAAATGCATGGGTTTAGTTGTGGTAATGTGATTTTTTCAAGGATAATGAAATGCATAGTTATTTGGCAATTGGTGTTTTTCGGAAGGGTCTATGGAATGGACATTGCATTCTTGATAGCACACACACAATAGATCTTGATGTGTACGCTTACATCCAAAACCACTGCATTTTGGTTCAACTCGTGATTCCTATGACTCCTTTTAATCCAGAGACATTGCCTGGCAACTGGCAGTTACTGCCTGCCCTTGTATTGCACCGGGCGTACTGCTGGCTCTTGGTATCCACTCGCCAGGTGTTTCTCAAAGTACCTACACCGCGAGAGCCGACTTGGCGTTTTGCACAGCAAGACATTTATCATCTTACCGTCGTTTTTCTTTGAACCCAAGTAAGTGCCAATCCGGGGCATGGATCCAATTCAATCCGCGACTCAGACCGTGGACAGAAGGGGAGAATGATTGATGATGCCAGTCATGCCTGCGAGTGATGATGCTGAAGAGGAGGAAGGAGGAGAGAGCTGACGTCGACACTCTGATGGGGGAATTGCTGAGGGGAGGGCTCAGAATTTGAGTTAAATTGGTCGTGTTTGAGAGGTTGGTGATTACGCCGAAGGGCAGAAGATGTGGCCTGAACATTGCTGAGTCTGTGTAGGGTTATGCGTATGCGCTTACGAGATCGATAGCGTGTTCTCTACCCAAGTAAAGTAGGAGGTAGGGCTCGCCGAGTGTGGCTGACGATGTTGATGGTGCTGGTTGTGGGGTGCCGCAGTGGTAGCTGCTTGGTGTTTGATTGCTTTGGGTGTTTAACGCTGTCATTGTCTTCGTGGGATGTGTGTTTACCACCATGTAGCCACCTACCACCGGCCTCTTGGAGGGAGTCCTTGTGTTCGGTCAGTGAGGCAAGAAAGAAAATGAGTCGTTGAGGTAGACCTTGTCTGCAAACCCTCGATGCTCCCCAAAGAAGGACAGAAGGTAACTCCGAAGTTGTTAACCAGCTGGCTGAGCCGTTGGCGTTGATGCTACACCATCTCAAGGGAATCAGTGTCTAGGCCAACGGGCGTGATGGTTTTTACAATGGGGAGATAGCTGGTTTAGCCATTTTTGTCTATGGTCAATGGTAAATGGCATTAGAAACGAGGCCCGATAGATACATTCAGGGGTTACCAACCAATCAAGAGACGCGAGTAAAGATGAGCTTTGTTTAGCTACCTCTAGCCTGCGGCTCTACATGTGAACTTTGATTGGAGCTCTCCGTAGGGTGCGATCGCGCGTTTCTCGTCCACGGATACTCGTAGAGTTGTCATGAGCCGTTTGCAAAAGCTGTCCAGACTCGCGAGCCAGTACGCGTTCAAGCATGACGGACGGTGTGTGGTCACGGATGGCGAGTGGTCAGGACAAGGGTTCGCGATCAGAACATAATGAGCGTGCCGTATCATTCATAGGGCTGAAGGCAGCATCGCGGGGAAATGCAAATCAGCGGAACGGCGCGAGATTGCGCAATAGGATGGGGGTGGTGGGAGCTTGTTCTCCTAGAGGAAAAGTATGGGATGAAGCTACAGCCGGGCAATACCCAATGTTTGACTTCCAGCGAGTCATTCGTCTTCAGATCGTGACTCCTTGGCGATGAGTGGCGCCGAGCATGGCGTGTCAATAGTTCTGACGTTGCAAAGCGCAAACAAAGGTGAGGCGTTAGGTAGACATAGAAAAGCGAAAAAGTATGTTCGACGGCTAAACTGGCCAAACTGGTATCCTCGTCGGCGGAGAAAACCGCAACTCAGATCCAAGAGGAACCAAAGATCGTGCACAAGTAGAACTAATCACTTGTAAGCAGTCGCGTAGTCAAGGTGGTGGTGTTATTGTGAGACTTGAAGTTGTGGAAGGGACGGGAAGAATAAAGGAGGGGCATCATCCGCGAATCTGTGGGGAGTAAAGGGTCCGAGTGTGGGAAGTACCAAAAGAGTTTTCTATATCTTATTGGCATCCTCTGTCGGCAAACTATGGCCGAGATTGGCGGGCAGTAAGACCTCTGCTGCTCAACTTTGGTGTTAGGGTTGAGTTAAGGTACGCCAATAAGGTACTTATCTGTTCCGGTCCTGGTACTTGACGACATCCTCCACTCCGCTTTCGGAAGCGGGAAGGAGCCTCAAGGGATCCGCTCAATTTTTTGGATGATGCTTGTCTGGAGAACTGAGTCACGGCGAACCAGCACAGCACAGCTTCTCTCTCTGTCTTGTTGTCTTTTTCCCCTCACCACCAAAGACAAAGCTCCTGTATGCGGGAGGCGTGTTGGTTACATCTTTACACACACATCCCATCTCCCACTCTCAAACACCCAGTGATTGCCCCACCGTCCCGCAAGGTGGCCGCCATACACCTTGGCTTTATGCGGCTCTCAATCTAACCACCTCCTAATCAATCTGCACCGCCGTCCGCAGTCACTGCAGTCGCTGCCGTCACGGTCCAGAAGCCCTTCGTCATGGCTGAGACCATCTCTAATCCTACCCGGATCAACATCCTGGGCAAGGACAACATCATCATTGACCATGGCATCTGGCTGAACTTCGTCGCCCAGGACCTCCTCCAGAACATCAAGTCCTCCACCTACATCCTCATCACCGACACGAACCTCTACAAGACCTACGTGCCCCCTTTCCAGTCCGTTTTCGAGAAGGCTGCTCCCCAAGATGTCCGCCTTCTTACCTATGCCATCCCTCCCGGCGAGTACTCCAAGGGCCGTGACACCAAGGCCGAGATCGAGGACTGGATGCTCTCGCACCAATGCACTCGCGACACCGTCATCATTGCCCTCGGTGGCGGCGTCATTGGCGACATGATCGGCTACGTCGCCGCTACCTTTATGCGCGGCGTCCGCTTCGTCCAGTGCCCGACCACCCTCCTCGCCATGGTCGACTCCTCCATCGGCGGCAAGACTGCCATTGACGTGCCCATGGGCAAGAACCTGATCGGCGCCTTCTGGCAGCCCGAGCGCATCTACATCGACCTTACCTTCCTCAACACACTGCCCGTGCGCGAGTTCATCAACGGCATGGCCGAGGTCATCAAGACCGCCGCCATTTGGGACGAGACCGAGTTTACCGCCCTCGAAGAGAACGCAAAGGCCATCCTCGAGGCCGTCCGCTCCAAGAACAAGTCGGCCGACCGTCTGGCCCCCATCCGCGACATCCTCAAGCGCATCGTTCTCGGTTCGGCCCGCGTCAAGGCCGAGGTTGTCTCATCGGACGAGAGAGAAGGCGGACTCCGTAACTTGCTCAACTTTGGACACTCTATTGGTCATGCTTATGAGGCGATCCTGACTCCTCAGGTCCTCCACGGCGAAGCGGTTGCCATTGGCATGGTCAAGGAAGCTGAGCTTGCCCGCTTCCTCGGCGTCCTCCGCCCCAGCGCCGTTGCTCGCCTGTCCAAGTGCATTGCCAGCTACGACCTGCCTACCTCTCTGCAGGACAAGCGCATCGTCAAGCTTACCGCCGGAAAGGAGTGCCCGGTTGATGTGCTTCTCCAGAAGATGGCCGTTGACAAGAAGAACGAGGGCCGCAAGAAGAAGATTGTCCTACTTTCCGCCATTGGAAAGACCTATGAGCCCAAGGCCAGCGTCGTCGAGGACCGCGCCATTCGCATTGTTCTCTCGCCTTGCATCAGGGTCTTCGCTGGTGTACCCAAGGATCTCAACGTCAGCGTCACCCCCCCTGGATCCAAGAGTATCTCCAACCGTGCCCTTATTCTGGCTGCTCTTGGTGAGGGTACCACCCGCATTCATAACTTGCTCCATTCCGACGACACCCAGGTCATGCTCAACGCCGTCGCGCAGCTCCAGGGTGCCTCCTTTTCTTGGGAAGAGGGCGATGTGCTCGTCGTCAAGGGCAACGGTGGCAAGTTGCAGGCTACCTCGACCCCTCTGTATCTGGGCAATGCGGGAACCGCTTCTCGGTTCTTGACCTCCGTGGCGGCTCTTTGCAACCCTTCCGATGTCAACTCCACTGTCTTGACTGGCAATGCCCGCATGAAGCAGAGACCCATCGGTGCTCTCGTAGACGCCCTGCGTGCCAACGGCGTCGGTGTCAAGTACCTTGAGAAGGAACACAGTTTGCCCGTGCAAGTTGATGCTGCTGGTGGCCTTGCCGGTGGTGTTATGGAGCTTGCTGCCACCATCTCGTCCCAATACGTCTCCTCGCTCTTGATGGCCGCCCCCTACGCCCGCGAGCCCGTCACCCTTCGCCTGGTTGGCGGTAAGCCCATCTCTCAGCCCTACATCGACATGACCATCGCTATGATGGCTTCGTTTGGTGTGCAAGTTCAGCGATCTGCTGAGGATCCCAACACCTACTATATCCCCCAGGGCACCTACAAGAACCCCGAGACCTATGTCGTCGAGAGCGATGCCAGCTCTGCTACCTACCCTCTCGCCATTGCCGCCATCACTGGCACTACCTGCACCGTCCCCAACATTGGCTCCAAGTCGCTCCAGGGTGATGCTCGCTTCGCCATTGAGGTTCTCCGTCCCATGGGCTGCACCGTCGAGCAGACTGACGTCTCTACCACCGTTACTGGCCCTCCAATTGGCACTCTCAAGGCCATCCCGCACGTTGATATGGAGCCCATGACTGATGCTTTCCTCACTGCGTCCGTGCTCGCCGCTGTTGCCTCTGGCACCACTCAGATTACTGGCATTGCCAACCAGAGAGTCAAGGAGTGCAACCGCATCTTGGCGATGAAGGACCAGCTTGCCAAGTTCGGCGTGCACTGCAATGAGCTCGAGGACGGTATCGAAGTGATTGGCATCCCTTACACTGAGCTGAAGAACCCAACGGAGGGCATCTACTGCTACGACGATCACCGTGTGGCCATGAGCTTCAGTGTCCTCTCCACCATCTCGCCCCACCCGGTACTTATCCTTGAGCGTGAGTGTACTGGCAAGACATGGCCTGGATGGTGGGATACCATGTCCAACTACTTCAAGGTCCATCTCGAAGGCGAGGAGGAGCCACACAGCAGCCACGTATCCCACGAGAAGCCTCGGAAGGGTAACCCCAAGTCTATCTTCATCATCGGTATGCGTGGCGCTGGCAAGTCCACCGCTGGCAAGTGGATGTCCGAGGTTCTCAACCGACCTCTCATCGATCTCGATCATGAGCTCGAGAGGAGAGAGGGCCAAACGATTCCCGAGATCATTCGCAGCGAGCGGGGCTGGGAAGGCTTCAGAAAGGCTGAGCTCGAACTCCTTGAGGATGTGATCAAGAACAACCCTACCGGACACATCTTCTCCTGCGGTGGCGGTATTGTGGAGACAGAGGCTGCCCGAAAGATGTTGCTTTCCTACAGCCAAAATGGTGGTATCGTCCTTCTAGTCCATCGTGATACCGACCAAGTTGTCGAGTACCTCATGAGGGACAAGTCCCGCCCCGCCTACTCCGAGAACATCCGGGAGGTCTACTATCGTCGCAAGCCCTTCTTTGAGGAGTGCAGCAACTTCCGCTACTACAGCCCTCATCCTGATGGGTCAAAGGCCCTTACCGAACCACCCTTCGACTTCAGCCAGTTCCTCTCCGTCATCTGTGGGCACAGCAACCACCTCGAGGAAGTGAAGAAGAAGCCTCATTCTTTCTTCGTCTCCCTCACAGTCCCCAACGTATCTAAGGCATTGGACATCATCCCTAAGGTGGTTGTGGGCTCCGATGCCGTAGAGCTGCGTGTAGACTTGCTGGAGGATTACGATCCGGAATTTGTGGCCAAGCAGGTTGCGCTTCTTCGGTCGGCCGCGAGGATTCCTATCGTCTACACTGTCCGCACTGTCAGCCAAGGCGGCAAGTTCCCCGACGACGATTATGAGTTGGCCCTCAAACTTTACCGCACCGGTCTGCAGGCTGGTGTGGAATATCTCGATCTGGAGATGACCATGCCAGACGAGGTCATTGAAGCTGTGACGAATGCAAAGGGTTATACCCATATCATTGCCTCTCACCATGACCCCAAGGCAACACTCTCCTGGAAGAACGGCGGTTGGGTCCAGTACTACAACAAGGCCCTGCAACATGGTGATGTTGTCAAGCTCGTTGGTGTCGCCCGCGAACTTGCTGACAACTTTGCCCTAGCACGTTTCAAGGCCAGCCTCGCTGCTGCTCATGACAAGCCTCTCATTGCCTTGAACATGGGTGCAGCTGGCAAGCTGAGCCGCGTACTCAATGGCTTCCTGACTCCAGTTTCCCACCCAGCCCTGCCGTCCAAGGCTGCTCCAGGTCAGCTCTCGGCGGCTGAGATCCGTCAGGCGCTGGCTCTTATCGGCGAGCTCGAGCCTCGGTCTTTCCACCTTTTCGGAAACCCCATCTCGGCTTCGCGGTCACCCGCCCTTCACAATGCTCTCTTCCGCGACAACGGCCTGCCTCATCAGTATTCCCTCTTCGAGACTGATAACGCTGCTGACGTCAAAGACCTGATCCATGCTCCTGGGTTTGGTGGAGCGTCGGTAACCATCCCTCTCAAGCTCGACATCATGCCTTTGCTGGATGAGGTGTCTGATGCTGCCAAGGTCATTGGCGCGGTCAATACCATCATTCCTGTTCGCAACGGCGACAAGGTGACCCTTCGCGGTGACAACACTGACTGGATGGGCATGGTGTATGCGCTGCGCAACGCCGGCGTCGTCAAGTGCTCCAAGGAGTCTCCGACCGCCGGTATGGTTGTCGGAGCTGGCGGAACCACCCGAGCTGCTGTCCACGCTTTGCATGACCTTGGCTTTGCCCCAATCTACGTCGTTGCTAGAAACGCCGACCGCGTCAAGGCTCTTGCGGAGTCATTCCCTGCCGAGTACGACATCCGCTCGTTGAGCACGCCGGAAGAGGTCGCGGCCGAGTCCACTGCCCAGCCTTCGGTTGTGATCAGCACCATTCCCGCCGACAAGCCCATTGACCAGAGCATGCGTGAGGTCATTGTTGCTTCTCTTCGTCACCCGTCGGTCGCGGATGGAAAGCATGTCCTGCTGGAGATGGCCTACACCCCGCGCCACACCCCCCTCATGCAGCTGGCGGAGGATGCGCACTGGCAAACGATTCCCGGACTTGAAGTTCTCGCCGCTCAGGGCTGGTATCAGGTATGTAACTTTTTTTCTTCTGTGCCTGCCTTCACATGACATTGAATGCTAACCCGCTATTTTTCCAGTTCCAACTCTGGACCGGAATCACCCCGATCTACACCGATGCGCAGGCGGCTGTCATGGGTAACTAGAGTATGGATTACCTTGTTGGGTAGTGAGGGAGATGGGTGAGTAGGAGCTAGCCTAGTCTTCTAGGGTATGTTTCAATTCTTTCTGTTCACATTGTGCTGGCAAGTACTTGCGGCACTCAAAAGTTATGTCTTTACTTGTTATGGTATTCAGGTCCAAATAACATCAATCTGGCTAATGATGTGCTTACCGAGCTTACGTGAAGACATTTACTGCGGACTTATCCCCTATCTTTGTGATTCCTCATCCAAAAGACTTGGTACATCAACTCACCTCCTTCTATGAACACAAGGACGGCGGCAGCAGCAGTACAGTTGATCTAATACCTTGCTCTTTGTTTGTTTATCTGTCTAGATAAATCTACATTGCAAGCACTGCCTCTTCAAAAACTACTTTGGTATTTTGTTAAGTACTTACGCTTCCTACCTACAGTGCTTGTTTCGACCTGGTCAACCTTATGTTGTGATGGGCTGTCATGGACGTTCGGTGTATGTCGTTATGGTTGGTGATGGCACCTAGATAGGTAGACAATGGTCGTGGAAGGAAGGAAGGAAGGAAGGAAGGATGGATGGATGGAAACCTGCAAAGTAACGGTGTTGATACTGCAGAAGGTGTTCGCTGCATACATACCACCCCATCCCCCCTTCTAAAGGATACATCGTTGGTGGGGAATTTGGGGGTTTTACGAGATTCATCAGGTGCGTAGTATGTAGTAGTGGAATGTGTTGATAATGACCTAGGTTAAGGGGGTTGGTTGCTAGGTAGGTACATACACTAGTGCAGAGACATACAACACTGACCGGGGGGAACAAGAACCTCACTCACAGAGAGCAGAAAGTTCGATTGGTAAAGTGATATGTAGCAGTAGCAGCAACCGTTCGTGTAGACAATCGTTCGAGTCCAATCACCATGAACATGGGAATCCTCCAAACAACCGACATCCTTGAACGTCGTATGCATGGAAGCCTTCTAGAAAAAAAACAAGAAACCCGAAGCTGAATAGATGAAAACTAGATTAACCGTACCAAACTTTTTCACCATTGCTTTCCTTGGCCGTGGGTTGATGTTGCAGTAGTAGTAGTGCGATGTAGTATTAGTATGCAGTAGCAGTAGTAGCCTGGCTTCTAGAATACATACAGAAGCGAAGCGCAACTACAACGCTGCTCTGATCCCTCGCTTTTTGGGGAGGGAGGGGGGCTCACATGCGGATTGGACTCGTTCGAATCCACATTGCATTGGATTGCCTTACATCCATCCGTACGGGATGTCCGAACCAGTCTGGTCTCGTGCTTGGAACGACATATCCTGTGATGTGATATGTAACCGGTAAGACAAAAAAGAGTGATTGATGTCGGAGGTCGAATCGGCAGGTAACCTAACCTATCTCGAGTAAGTAACTTGCTCTGAACAAATGCTTAAGCAGGGGTGCGGCTAAGAACCCGGAAGTTTTGATACACATTACGACACATTACGACGACACGACACGATACGACACAACACCACAAGATATCGGATGCAAAGGCTTACGTTGCTTACTTCAATGGTTGTGGGGCTGGCCCCCAAAGGTTTGTCTGTAGTGCCCTTTGTCGATCGATAACGAGAGTGTTTTGTCTGATTGCTAGTGTAGATCTTTCTATGCCAGTGGGAGTTTCGGATATAGGAGGGAAGAAAAGAGAAAGGAACCAAGGTTGATTTTCAGCTGTAGGATGGGAAATGAACGCGATGGACTAGAACAAAGGGTTCAGGAACTCAAGGCCAGCGAGTAGGGTAAAAATTAACAAACGCTTCAAGAACACCCTACTTGGGAGGAAGTTGCTTTCCAGAATGGACAATACCACTTTAAATTCCAGTAACACTGATGTGTAGAGTACCATGGTTGGCAAGTGTCTAAGAAGGAGCTTAACACCCCTCGGCCCACGTTTCTTGAAGCAGTGTTGTGTTCCGATTTTGATGGACAGGAAGCAAAAAGCATGAACACAATGTCCCAAAGCCAAAGGACCAAACGGCCTTGCTTCAGTCAGTTTCTTCGGAGTTTCCCTTAGCTGCCTTGCGTGGATGTAGGTACATAGGTAGTCTTGACCTTGGTTCTCTCCTGCAAGGGACGAACAACCTACTACCTTACCTAGGTACCTGTCGACTCATACATCGCAGCAACATAAGGCAAAGAAAGCATGGTACAAAAGAACCACACTTACCTGCTTTCCTATTACGTATAGAGCGACTCGGTAGGATACCCACATCCAGACATATTTTGCGTCTTCTTTTTCGCCACGGTGCAAGGTACGTCGACTCGCTTCAGGCTTCCTAGTAATAAGCGCGGGGGGTTGTTCCCTTGGATCTTGGATCTTGGTTAGTTCCATTTTCTCTGTCAACCAAAGATGGAAAATCGGAAAGGATTGCCATGTGGAGATAATGTTTGCCGGTGGCTACCTAACCGAAACCCTCCGAGTCGAGATATACTTCATTCGCGCTTGAGTGGACTAGAAATTAGGTGCTTATGTATGTAGTGTACGTACTGACCAAGCAGGTAGTTCGCATCGGCGGTTGAGAACTTGTGAGAATTATAGGTTTCGACGGTGGTTCGTGTGACACGCCTCGTCTTGTCCAAGGTCAGGCTATGAGGGAGGTACCTTGGAGATTTAGGTAGTATGACTGGGCACAGAGTCTGTCGAGGAGAAGTGGCATGCATGAGTAGTGATGGTGGCTATAGGTAGTTCGTCTTCGGTATATGGAAATGAAAAGGTTGCTCTTTGGGGCGATATCTTGCGATCATGGAAGGAGCCTTTTATGATACCCATTGGTTATTGTTCTGTGTAGTTGTGTTGTCTTACTACGGTAAATAGAAGTAGTGCAGGCAGGGTATGGGTAACTTGCTTTGAAATCGCCTTTGAACCAGGTCGGAACGAACCGCTCGTTAAATAACAGATACATAGGTAGAGATGGAAAACTCTCGTCCTCCCGAACTTCATCCGATAGTAGAGAGATTTTACCTTTCAGAGGAGGAAAGAGCCAGTAAACAAAAAGAATAAAACAAGATAAAAGCAGGCTAACTTGAGCCGAGCTGACTTTGCACAAGGCGGGAGTAGGTGGATATCGTTGAGGGGTTGTTCACCCAACAAGCTGTTGTCTGGGTGTCAATAACCTTCCGAAAATATGAAACAAAAGCGTCGAGACATATGCAGAGACATGAGCTGATTAGAAGCAACAGGCTAACCAAAGGAAGGAGAGAGAGGGGGGGGGGAGGAAAAAAATAGGGAAAACCAAAGGATATCTGTCTTTAACAAGCGAATATGACAACCTCCCTTGGAATCATTGCAATGCACCCATAGAAGCTGAAATAATCTGATACTCATCAACCAGCCATGTGTTTCACCTTTGAAGATTACCTTGAATATTAGTAGAGAGCTGCTGGTAAATGGGACGATAGGGCCAGGAGAGAAGATAAATGAGAAGAGGGGAACAAAGAGACTGTAGAGGAACGGAGGAGGAGGCTGAGCTCAAGAGCTGAAGTGGGAAAAGGTTATCGCCTCAGCCCAGCTGCAAGGTACCCGCTCGCAGCCTGCTCTCGCCAGGTTCCGAGTTACGTGGAGGGCACTGCAGTGTAATGTAGGTAAGTTTTTTTGAAGATGCTACACAACTGACCCGAAAGGATTGCTTGCAGATACATACGGGGGCCAGGTAGTTTCATGATCAGTAATCATAACCATGCTAGAGAAAGAGTCTCAATGTCCGGGATATGGTGCAATATAATGGGTAGGCTTGGCAACTCGCTGTGATAATTAAGAGTTGAAGCAACAGACATAATGCTGGGGTCTGGGGTCTGATGTTATCAACGACCGGCTGATGGGGGCTGAAGGGAAGTGGAAGTGTGGCTGTGTGCGTGAGAATGCGCTTTCTTCGTTGTCCACCAGTGTTCTCGGCTTTATTATTGACCCGGTCAGAACAAAAAAGACGTGAAGTTGATGACAAGGAAAGAGAAGAGACAGCTTGTAATGATTAATAAAGAGAGAACACCGGTACGCTACAGAACCACTCAGGGCTCGTTGTTACCTAGCAGTCAGCCAGTGTGTGACCTCGTGACCCACTATAGTAGCTCTACCTCTAGCCTGCTGCTAGATGTTGACGTTGCCAACATTGTGTAAACAGAAACGAGCTCGCAATACGACCTGTTCGTACCAAGTGTCTTGACGGTTCACGAAGCTTGGACGAGATGGACACTGCCACCTGATTTGTTCTCGTTCAATCAGCCAAACGGCCAACGAAACGACTGAGGTATATTGCGTCAGCTCTATAATGGAAACATGCCGCCAGATGTTTCAGCAGCAGCCTCACAGAAATAAATACCTAGGTGCTGTGATGTTGCATGCAGTGCTCCCATGCTGCCAATGGTGTCGTTAGGTGGGTGGTGTTATTCTGGGGATTTGGCCCGCTAATCTGCAGCCACCATTTTCCACTTCGGTTACTGCTAACGTCAGGTAATCGAATCATGGAGGACTCTGTCTTTGTATCGGCTTTTTGAGAGACAGCCAGATATTTGATATGATTCGTCTCGGCCTCAGGCGAATCACACTCTGAAGAGCGATAAGCTCGGTGAACGGACAAGACGAAAGGGAATCTGATGTCACCTGCGGCAGTCAGCTACAACATCAAGGTTGATTGGTCCGGGGTTCGAGATGCAGCCACGGGACCTCCGAAGCGTCGGAAAGCTTTGATACAACTCTGCTACTCCCTCCATCTCATCTGCCGACGAATTACTGATGATTTCTGTCCACGTTGGGAGCGGTTCGGTTAGTTCGATAGTGAGCAAGATAAGAGTGTCCTGAAGACTGGTCAAATACCTAACATGGCGTTATAGCGTTCTCTGGGTCTATCGGCTCATCTTTGCACTAGGATTTAAGGTGCTGAGGCGCAAGAGAGGAAGAGGCACAGCCGAATGGTGTCATGGCCCGTTGACGATCGGATTTCCGCAAGGTCGCAGAACGCCATTTGTGCCAAGTTGTGTCGCTTTGTCTCTGAAACTTGACCTTCATTGGCCCAAATTTGAGGTTTAGCGAGGTAGTTTTCGTACGAGACGTTGTCAAGAAACAAGTAGAAAGGTAGGGTAGGGGCCCAACAACATCAAAGCGTGGGGGGTGGGAGCTCGCTAGCAGCCCATAGCGATGGGAGAGACAACGGTTTTCGGCTAAGGCTGATCATGGCACAAAGTTTATGGCTCACCTTGCGCATACCTCCTCCTCTTGTCGGCGCTGTTCGGTGAAATGGCCTTGTGTGACAAACGTAACCAAAGATCTCGTAGTGGTTAGCATGCGAGTGCTTAAAAAGCCGTCAAGTTACCGTCAGTTGACAACAAACAAGCTGGCTCGAGAAACTCGCCGCGGGTACCTTGACGATGTTGAACGGAGGTTTTTTTGATGACATAGCCGTGAGGACGACGAATGTCTAGGACCTTGATTCTCCACGCAAGTCTAGAATGGCTTGCCGATATTCATGACATGTTTATCAGGACGTTCAAGGGTCAGGTCCAAGGGCATAACGGATATGGTGCCGGTCGTCTACATAGTCATGCCTATTCTTCGTATCCCTGGCAAACCACGGAGACATGGGGTAGAATTAGGCACCACTTTAGGGAATGGAATCCGAAGAACAGCACTTGTGTGGCTGTTGCCGAGCTGCAGGCCAGCCCATCCGAAGCCTCACAGTGCAGTGGCCTCGTTACAATGTCCCACAGTAGTCGTACCAAGGGGCCTTTTGCACAGGATGAGCCTCCACCGACTCTCCATGGATATCTGGCTGCCTGGCGACTGAGCGAGTCAAGGTACCTTTGATGACAGTCTGGCCAAAAAGCTTCCAGAAGGCGCAGAAGAAGGAGGGACCTTTGTAGCACCGGACTCAGAGTTGCCCCGGTTGCGTCCCACCAAAGAGCGCTCGGGGTGATGCCCCTGAAGAGTTGTCGTCCCGCGGTTGTACAATCAGTACTCGGTGTTCAAGCGGATGTATAGGCTAGGTTGTGACTGTCGGGTGCGCAGAGCCTTGTCAATGACGTCCGATGTGCTTTTTGACAGTTAAAATCGCTTGATCCCATGTTGATGGAAGGGCGTGTAGGCGATGGCGCCTCGTGATCGTGGAGACAGAGGATTGATGTTGTTGTTGTTGTTGTTGTTGTTTGAGAACAGTGTGGCCCGATAGCTTCTCCTCGCCCCCTGTAGCTGCGCTGAACTGGGCTGAGTACAGCGAGAGTGGCCTTGTGGGATCCCGCTAAAGTGTGGAGCGGATCTCCAACTGGGTTCCATAGGTGGCTCCAGATCTGCCTCTGCGCCTTCCTAGTCCCGCATCAATTCCCTTCCGTTCATCAATCACTTCCCCGCTCCCTTCATTCATCGCATGAAGAGGTTGATCCTTCGCGGCAATTCACTCGCTTCACCTTCTGTTGACCTGTCCCTAGGTCAACACCTCACACCATTTAGTGTCCCTTCTTTCCATCCAAACCAACACGGATATTCATCATCATTCCTCTCACGTCTCAACGGCCTCTACCCATAAGCGGACACAAAGTTGGGGGCCGAAAAGGAACCAACGTGTCGATGCCCTCAAACCTCACATGTCTCCCATTCTCTGAACACACACGGCCAATTGGGGGCCGTTACAGCAACTAGACTCTTTCCGTCGTCTCTCGGAAGCCCACTGGACCACTCCGACCACTCGGAATCTCTTCCTGTGTGGACGAGGTCCCGCCGATTCCGTCGCTGAGAAGAGCATCATCTCACGCTCATCGCCAGCCCATGCATCCTACATCGCCTATTCGTGATGCCCGCGTCTGTTGTCGGCCGCTTAACCACTAAGACAAGTCCCCCGTCCAGAAAACAGGCGCAAGCGCTCGCCTCCCCCACACCATGGATACATCCAGAGTCGAGACACTGTCCTCCTCTGCCCCGACAGATTGCGCCCCAAGGTACCCGTGGATGGCGCCCCCGGGTGTTGTGCTTGCCATACCGTTCTCACAAACTGCCACTTTACACTGTTGAACTGGTGACCGAGTCCATTCTCCTCTCCCCAATCGACCATGGTTCTTCTTGGGACGGGAGTCGACCAGCCATTAATTCCCTACGGACTGGCTACCGAACCTATGCGGCATGGCACGCTCTTGACAGGGCAGTCAAGTCTCGGGTCTTCTTGGCCAGACCCTTCCCGCACAGCGGAGACCGATGGATGAGCACACAGCTTCTGTTGCTAGACCCAACAGAGTGTGTCCCTCGCAAGCTCGCACCAACCATCCGGCCAGGGAGTCAAGAGGAGTGCCGTGAGCTGCTGTGTGACTGGTCACCCAGCCCTGTTGGCGGGGTACTCCAAAGCCCCCAAGGTATTATTGTACAGCTACAAGCCTTCAGCTACCCAGCCAATGTCACTCCAGTAACGGGGATATACCGCAGCCTCTACTTTTATTAGATCGACTGCGTTCCGCACCCTTGATAGGTAGGTATACTTCAGCCGTCAGAGAGGTAACACCTTACACTACTGCATCGAGTTCTATTTTCCCCTCCAAGGTCATCATCCATACCTACGTAATGCTATTATCCGAGTCCGTCATCTCTCTACACTACACTTGTCTATTCCGGGCGCTGTACACTAAATCTTCCCACCCTTGCGGTACACTACCTAGGACTCGGAGTCTCAGTGAGACACTGAGCCAACATGTCTCTTTTTGCGGGACAAGACAGTCGCTTGTTCTGCAGGAATCCCCCTTCCCACCTAATCAGGGTGGTGTCAACTGACCCTGTCACCCAAATTAGTCCAACCGTAATTCTGAATCGGTACATGGGCTGTCATGTCCTGTTTCCTCTTCCAGGACCTTCAATCTCACACACACACACACCTACTTCTTGCTAGCCTTACCTACCCCATGCGCAGCCACCGCCGCCGCAAACCCATGTCTTCTCACAAGCAGTCGACGTTCCACTTGCCGTGCTACATCCTGTCCACCGTACTGTGTGTGCAGTGCGCCCCAAGGTAGGTACTATGCAGTCAGTCTGTCTGCCCCTTGCCCAGTCATCTGCATCCCCATGATGTGCATTTGGCCCCCAGGTTCCTATGGGGAAGCTCTCTGTATAGCAGCGCTTACTCCATTCTTAGCCAGGCAGAAAAATATGGTCCCATCATGGAGGTGTATAAGACACCCCGGTTGTCTGCCTTGTCATCCACACCCGTTGTTCTGTGCTTCCACAGCCTGCTTCACATCTCGGCATCACCATTCCCAAGTATATACCGAATACTTGGTCCCAACTCCCAATACCAGTCACCGTCCGCCCATCCCTATATCTGGCTCGCACCCCCATCCTTTCATAAGGCAAAGCCCCTTGACTGCGTCTAACAACCCAATCGGACCCCCGGCGCAATCTTACTCGGCACCTCTCCCCGCCTAGTTCTCGCTCCTCTCCAACAACAAGGTCCATCGCAGGTCATCGTGCCCATCTTCAGCCTTACGAATTCGTATATAATCCAACATCAGCCAACACCTCCCATCCCCATTCACACAAAAAGATTCTCCAGCATGGCCCTCACTCCGCCCTCTCTGACCAGGTCACCTTCAACCCCCTCGCACAGTTACTGTCCTTCCGAAAGGTCATCAGTTGGTTATCCCTCGCCCGGCCTGGTGGAACAGCAATACAAGATCTCGTCCATCTATGGTGACCAATCCTGTTCCGTAACTTCGTCTATGGACCCGGGGTCATCACTACCACCACTTGAATCAATGGGTCAGCCCGACTGGAACAGCACCGTCATTCTCCCTGCCTCCTCCGCCACCGGTATGCCTAGCATCCTTGCCGCAGCGTACGAGTCGTATGGGAGCTATCCTTATAGCCACGATGTTTATCACTCGCATCACAGCGGCCATCCTCTTTCAACATCTACGCCGCCGCCTTCCGGCCCGTCATCCCGATCTCCAATTCCACCTGCATCAAGGACGTCACTTCCCTACCTTTCAAACGCATCGATGGGTGGATCTCTAACACCGCGGGTCAAGATGGAGACAGAGTACGGGTCAAGCATGGAAGTCTCTCAATACCCATCGCCTCGTTCGATGCACACTTCCTACCCTTCAGACAGCGGCGCCTACACACACAACACAACTGGTTATCTCTCAGACGGAGGATCATCGGGATGGCAAAAGTCAGACTACCCGCCTCTCGAAACCGGATTTTACCCAGGCCCTGGAGCCGCGCAAACATCAGCTTTCCTCCAAAACGGACAACGATCCTACCGAGTTCCCCGTCCCAAGAGACAACAACGGCGCTTGACGACGAAAGAGGAAGCCAACTTTCAGTGCGAGGTCAAGGGATGTGGGAAACTATTCAGCCGAAGCTACAATTACAAGGCGCACCTGGAGACACACGAGCCAAACCGGGATTATCCCTTCCCCTGCCAGGAAGCCGGTTGCACCAAGAAGTTTGTTCGCAAAACCGATCTCCAGAGACATCATCAGAGTGTGCACTTGAAGGAGCGCAGCCACAAGTGCGATTACTGCGGCCGTCTGTTTGCCAGGAAAGATACTCTGCGAAGGTAGGCCCCTCCTCTCTCTCCTTCAAACGTCCCCATCCCTTTATACTTTCCGATACTAATGCATGTCCTTCTTTGCAAACAGGCACATGGAAGATGGTTGCTCCAAACGCTTCGACATCGGCACCATGGATCTCCGACCAGAGACCTACGACAGCTTCGCACGACCTTCTTCCTCTGGCCCCATGAGTCAGCACTACACCCTCTCGTCATCGACCAACAACATCGATAGCCTTCCACCCATGGCTATCCCATCCCTAGGCAGCAGTGGCATCCTCTCGTCGCTGTCGTCTTCTATGAGGGCTGGTGGTGGCCAGGGTCATTCTTGGGGGAGGTGAGCTGACGTGATTACCTCACCCCAAGTCCATATCCATTACGCTTGTACGATAAAATGATGAAAGACGTTTCATATTTCTACTTCTTGTTTCCACTTTTAGGTTACTCTTCTGGAGATACCAAAAGGGGGAACTATCAGAGAGAGTGGTTGTGACACTCATCGCTCGCTTGTACGATTAATGTACTACCTTCTTTTCTACTCTGTTCGATTTTTGGTCATCATTAGCGGGAAGTTGGGATTTGTGTCTGCCTGATGGTTCTTTATTCTTGTTTCTTCTTTTTATGTAACGGTTCATAAACAGAGTATGGTCGGTCGTGTATGGACTGGCGGTTTTTGGTTTTGTTTTGGTAAGGGTTTAGTTCAAGGAGGTCGGTTGGTCGGTTGGCTGGCATAGAAACATTACACAGGTTATAGCGCGCGGGCGGCAGAGTCCTTATTTTTGATGTTCAGCACGCATCTTGTGATAGCAAAGTTCATTTTTTTTTTCTTCTTGTCACCCTTTTCTTTTCTCTTTCTTTATTTGTTCATTAGCGTGTTTCTGTTTAACGAGTAAAAGAGTACTCTGCTTGTTTATCTATTCATCATGTCTGAACGAACAGACGCACACTATACATACACTCTCCACATTGCGCATATCATGACCATGACCGAAACATACAAATGTACACATCCGACCTCTTTGAAACCTGAAATTCCCTGGGAGAACAGACTGTTTCCATAGCCAGCCAAGACTGATCTGACCCCTTCAATTAGAAAACATTCAACAAACCTTGTGAAAATGAAAAAGATGAAACTAGAAAGAAAGGGGAAAAAAAAAAGAGAAAAGAAAAGAGAAGTTTGCGCGCCAACTAAACCGTCAAGAACCAAAATGTCGATTAGGTGAGATGCAAGTTAGGTTAGGGAGGAGGAGGAGTGGACTGGGTATGAATGAATGATTGGCTTACATATGAATGACTGGACTGATTTGAAGGGAAGCAAGCTGCTTAGAGGTAGATAGGTAGGTTCGGATGTTTGATTGATTGATTGCTCATCACTCCCCCCCATCACATTCCATTCCATATCATCACAGGCGCAGCATGAGCTTTCCCCGAGTTTCAAGTCAGTCAAAGTTAACTTGACTGTCAGGCTTTAGACAGAGGAGGTTTAAGTAGAAAATGAAAATAATGAAAATTGGTAAGGAAAAAACAGAGACGTTCGTGATGGTAGTCGCCGTTGGGGATTGTGATAATATGTGATGATTGATGATGCTCATGGTTACGACACAAAGTGTTGGTTGGTACCATGTCCAGGGACTCGGGTGGCTTGGAGGCCACTCGCTCCCTCACTGAATGAATGGTTCGTTCGGTGTACACTACACCCAGGGGGCCGCGGGGGAACTGACCGACCAGACCAGACCCGATCTAAAGGGCCAACGTGATGTGACGGGATGTAGTGTATGTAAGTACATATGAAAACGTAGGGGTATGTAATCAAAAGTGATCATCTGGTTCGTAGATAAATATAAAGGTACAGAGTTAGTACCAAAGAGGTGGATGAAGGAACTATTCTGTTCCGTACAACTTAACACAAATGTAACGGGCCCGTCTCCATTTATCTCGTATATCGTATTACCGTCGGCACCTTGTTATCATCCAGGCAACCAACGTATCGCTAGATCACTGATATTTCTTTCCGGAAATGTGTTTTGCTTCCGCTTTGGATTATCGTTGGACCTTTATCTTCTCGTTCGTCGCTGGTGCCAAGATTGGAGGTGCTCGGGGGTGGGGGCCATAAACCTCGACACATTTCTATACACCTTCTGCCCACGCGGCCGCCGGGGTTACATTCGATTACTCGGACTCTTTGATTGGGGTGTATGTGTCCACGAGTGTTCTCGAGTGAGTTGACAGAGACTGGACTCTGAGTGGTGATTAGTGGTGGTACATAGGTAAAATGCTCAGTCGCGTTTAAGAACCAGTCAACTGCGGGGTCATCGGATCATGGCATTCAGGACAAGGGAGGACTTTGTAGGACTCGATTGCGAAGATGACGAACGCCGCCGAACGGCCATTAACAGGGCAAGACAGGTCTTTCCATCTGAACTTTTATCCAGAGAGTGTGACGCAATCGGTCGGATTGAATGGAGGACTATTCGTTCGGAGCTGTGAATTGTAATGATTGTCAGTGGCCAAGGGCTGCTGTATCTTGCTGTAAGTCATCCGTTAGCGCATGGCAGCGCACCAGTGAGGCGTGCCGGTTAGGGGATGCAAGGGTCGGACCGCCCGCCATTTTACTGTAAAGTGTAATAGTGTGCAGAAAGGCGGGATGCAGTGGGTTTGCATTGTTTTTGGTCATATCCGCCTTTAATTGTTGGCTTGTTGGTGACAGGTGGAAAGAGTGAGAGGGCCGGTTGTTGGCCGGTTGATGGTCCCCCTCGATCGCCGGTCCCTACAGGGCTCAAGCGGCGGCGGCTGCGGCGGGGACGGGAACCTCCACATGCTCGGGAAAACCTCTCCACTCGGCGGATGAGGTGCCTTGCAGCCAAGTGGATATGTACATATTGTAGCTCAGACGACAACTGGTGCCCGAGACGAGATCGCTCCTTCAGGGTCTGCTGTTGCTCTTCTGATGCCATCAGACAAAAGCCAAGATAGGCTATGTAGAAGCACACATACACTACAGTACCTCTCACAATACATCTGGTTGCCCAATCACCCCACGGCATGAGGTCAGGTGAACTCCAAGTCGCCCTTGATGTTCCATGGTTTTGCCAAATACGACATGACCCAACTTGAGCTCGCGTTCGTCCCAACTCAGCTCTGCGGTCTGCGGACACCCGAGCCGGGATGGCAATGCAGTGCACCGGTCCCATCCCGGAACTCAGCCTTATGATGCTGTCGAGCGAGAAACATCACCGAGAGACAAAAGGCCCAAAATGCGGCCGTGGCATCGCCATGATGCAGTCGTATCATGATATTTCCCGTCAGGAATAACAACTAAGTCTAGGCAGCTACTTTTTGTTCTCTTTTTTCGGTTCCCCCGTACTTACTACCCGTCCTATGTCTGGTGTCTAAGCCTGGCATCGACTCACAATCATTGGCTTCTCGCAAATTTTTGGCCCCCAACGCCAATCAATGTTCACTTGAATGTTTAAATGCGAGGGTACCACTCGCATCTCATCCACCTACCGAAAAGTCCGAGGGTCCCAGTTGCCGATACCTAGGCAATACATAGCATTTCTGTCGTCTCTCCAAAAGTGGGAAAAGGTCATGAAGAGATGATTGCGCGTTAAGGTCATCTCGGGCTATCACTCTCTTTTCAGTTTTTCTTGCATCTATTTTCATGTGTTCTTCTAGGGAGTCCATCATCGATCCTTTTCTGGATACAATTTCGAACCACGCTCATAGGTAGGTACACTAGGTATGTACTGCGGACAATTTAGTTACATCCAACCAACCAACAATGTAACAAAGCCCTTTTTAAACTCGCCGCAGCAGCACCCTGATTGGTCCAACAGCCGCCGTAATGAACGCATGGGGTTGCACGGCATTTGTGCGGCTTGGCTTACCACCAACCATGAACATACCATACCCGGCAGTCCGGCCATACACAGGCGAGCGAGCGAGGGAAGGGCAGAGCAGAGGGGATTGGGCTTCCACCAATTCCTTTCCTTTTGCCTTTCCTCATCATCGTCGTCGGCGGCAGGGAGGCCTGGTCCCCTCCTCGGGTATTCTTCTTCTTCTGTCACTCTACAGGGAACTTTGTTATCGCCCTTTCATACTGTGTATGACCTTATTTCAGTGACAAATCCCAACTAGCAGTCCTAGGGATCCAAGGTCCGAAGCTATGACTAACGCGCCGACAAACAAAAGGCGACTGACCGAACCGAAGCAAAGTCAGACATGTCAAGATACGAATGCGGAGCGGCGAGCACACAACGATGACGGAACCTCCCTCCCTCCCACTCTCTCAAAGCACCATGATCGTTTCGTTTCCAACAATCAAGCTCAAAGTGCTTACTGCGTACTGCCGTACGAGGGGTACGTATATCACATACTTCCCTGTCACCTTTTACAGCATCCCACAGTTCACCGTGTTTAATACGGTGGCTGGTATGGCTGGATGGATCGCCTTATCAGCCCAGGGAAGGGTTCCATCGCTGCTTCTAGAAGCTCTGCAGCTATATCGCCCGGATAATATAGGCCAAGTCAGGGGGGGCCCGGACGGCAGGCTCCATGTACACTATATACGTACGTCCTGTATGGAACCGTGAGATCAGGAAAGTGCATATGTACCGTGTCCTCATGTCAGAACTACTGGATCACAGGACTTCAATGGGGCAGATGCTGTTGAGCGACGTTGTACTTTGTCGTTAGCGTTCGACAACGGAGACCTGTCCCTTCTAGTTCATTCTTATATCACTGAAAACCGCCAAAAAAAAAAAAAAAAAAAAAAAAAAAAAAAAAAAAAAAAAAAAAAGTTAGACGAAATGGTCGTAAGGACATCTGTATGTAATCAACGTCAGGATCGTCCCGGTAAAAAGGAGGTGCGTCGACTGCATTGGTGCATATGACGATCCCTCGAATTATTGACCTGACACGGGTAGTTCCTGTTATTCAGTTGTGCTGCTTCTTGGTGGTTACTATGTATACAGCCCTGCGGTGCTGTAGTGGTATTCCCTTTGAGGAACTGGAAAACACCCTTCAGAAAGAGATGGGTGTGCGTAAGACGAAAATCATCCAACCAACCAGGAGCAGACCTCCCGACAAGCCGGGGAAGATCCGGTGCTACGGCGACAACACTACACTATAAAGAGATGAAAGGTAGATGGTGCAATGAGAGCTTGAGACCGACCGACCTGCTGACACAAATCACTCGATTGGGTCAAAAACGTGCCTCAAATAGACGAGCCCATCACGGGGAGACTCCGAATTCGTACGTATCATGATGCTGACGATTGGACCCTCCATCTGTCATTGCAGTGTCTACCTAGGTATACTAGGTATTCATACAGTACCAGTACCTGTGATACCTTTCGTAGAGGTACCTGATACTGTCTTGAAGGTATACGAACCTCTCAGTCGGTCTCTTGCATGGAACGCATCCACACATTAAGGACAAAATACCCTTGCTTTTCCAGGCTAACAAAGGTGGTGTTGACGTATGTTTAGCTTAGCTCTCGCCAGAAACAACCGCACGCAAAAAGACCTGTTGATTTTGGCTAGCTGTAAATAAAGGGCGGATATATCCGTTTCGACCGAGGCGAAGGAGACAGCAAGTCCTCCATGTGGGGGGCCGTGGAATTTGTGATGGTGAGGATGCTGAGCCTCAATCTTTGAGAAGCGACTATGTAGCTGGAAGTTTAGCTTTGATTGGCCGTCCATTCTGTTTTCGTTTTCTCCAGCTTCGCTACAGTAGTAAAGTTTGGCAAAAGGCTGCCTATGACTTGGAAAGAATAATGATCCGAGGATTTCATCTATACTTGAAGATTGCAAGTCATGGAACCAAGTAATGATAGCTCTATGGGTTTAGATGATCAAGTCCTTTTTACTCACTGTCTTAATCTTTGGCAGTCAAGAGGCAGGTAAACCATGCCTTTTGCACAGGCAACCAACTCAAGGCAAGGAAAAAGTACTTCATCTTGATATTCTTTGGTACCCAGACTCACAACCCACACTCTCACTTCTCGTCCTCTAGCGCCCTTCCCACATCGTTCCTCCCCTCAACGGAAAAGTTTGAGGTGCACTTTTGGTTTTACTAATGTGTTGCCTCCACGGTTGATACGGAGGCACTGCAATTGCCGAAACAATGCGAAACACCAACCGACACCAACTAACCACCTCCATCAGTTTCCATCCTTCTCCCCCCCTCCTTTCTCGCAAGTGGGTTCCGATCACTAATCATCACCGCCGTGTAGAGGAGGGAAGAGGAGTCTGTTAAAGTTCTGACAGCCACAAAGGTGTCTAAAACAAGTTATAAGTACCTGCCCGGCTACCTACCTCTAGGTGCCCACCTCTTCTGACAGGCGATTCGATGCAAGTAGGAGGCGTTCGGGAGTCGATTCAAATCCTCCGTCCTTCCCTCGCCCCGATCTAGACTCAACGGCAGCAAGGGCGCGCCTACCTACCTACATACACCCATCACCACGCACCCACCCTGAGTACCTCTATATAGACATAGAAGTAAGTCCGGGGCGAAGGATCGCAACCGCGCGGCGGGAAAAAAGGGCCCGGCGGCGGGGTTTGGAATCCTTCGTAAGTCTACTTGGAATTGGGAACTTTGCTGCTCCAAACCGGCGGTTAATGAGCAGACAAGCGCCACCGCGATTTGATGGGCCCCGTTTTCTTGCATTGTCACAGTCGCTGCTCGTATTCACTCATGCGCCAACAACCGCCGGTGGCATACCAGAGTTGTCGGGGTGTCAAAGTCACCACCCAAAACGGAAATATACCTGGCAGTCAGTTGACGTTCCATGAAGGGTGGTGGGTAACTCGTCGATGTGGGAATCTTGAACTCTTGGGTTCCAATAACTACCTACGGAACAGCCACATAAAGGTTATGATGAGAAACTGCATGTGTGACTGAGAAATGTAAAAGTGTTGAAGATCGCCGTAGTACTCTACGGACGGTATTGAAATGAGAGGGGGGAATTGTACTTCTTTCCCCCAATCGTCGATTCCAAGCGTCTGAGATAGATGGGGTTTCTCCCTTCTTGCGGCTTGTTTTGGCGCTTTCGTTTTCCCGCTACTTTGAAGGACCTGTCTTTCCATCGGTCGTTTTTTTTTTTTTTTTTTTTTATCTTCCTTTTGAATAAGACAATAAGACCCGTGGACTGATAGATAATCGGCAAGATGGCGATCCTTCGTACTGAGCGCGGAAGTACCAACACTGATAGTTATCGTATAATCCGAATCCGAGAAAATTCCAAGTCCGCCGATTGCTGTAGACTTGAAGCATTGCAGTTGCAAAAGAAGTCAGACTACTTCTATCATGCGGCGTGTGCACCGAGTTTTGAGTATGAAAACGTGTGTGCGTGACGAAAGTATGGATATAGAGGCTGCTGAGGAAGTGAAAGCGACGATGAAGTCGTGAAGTGGTGAGTGGTGTTGATCGAGTAAGTACTTCAGTTGTGAAGACCACAGTGCAATTAAGCTCTAGAAATGACTGTGTGTGTGGGCCACTCCGGCATCAGCGGGCTGGCAATACGCGTGCCGGACCGGCAAAAGCTCACCGTAAAAGCATCACCGTGCCTGACCTTGTGCCAGATCCGGATTCCCAGAAACAGCACATCATTGATCCATCAAATCCACTGAGATCCTGTCCTGAAGCTGATCGCCACAGGCCACCGCCAGGCAACCTTGGCACGTGCTTTCTCGACTTCACAGTTTTAAACAACGACAAACGCGATACAAACCGCGATAATAATAGAGATACGCGGTCTAGGGGAAGACCCGAGGTTGCATACTTAAGACAAGGGAGGAGGAACCTTTGGATATCGAACAACTGCCCCCGCCAAGACCCAAGATAGAAGCTCCAGCGTGCAGACACATGCCTTCAAGTTGACCTCGATTTCTCACCAAACCAAACATCGAAATAGAACATTTCAAACGATTTCTCCATCCGGACACCCGCGTCGGTAGATATTTTGCGACATAGTAAAGCCAACAAGATATTCATCCACGTTGCTGCCCGCGCAGCCATTCTCAATCCCTTCCCTTTGTCCCTGTATCCAAGGCCGTGATACTAGACGCCCACCATGGAATTCAACATCGAGTAAGGGTCGAATTCCAGACGACGCGTTCTTGGTCTGTAAAAAGCCAGGTAACTAATATGCCGGTAAACAACAGCGATCTCCCAGTTCTGTTTCCTTACCCAAGGATATATCCAGGTATGTGAGCTCATCCACATTGGTACACCATCACAAGTGCTGACAGACCGGCTTTACAGAACAATATGCGTACATGGTGGACTTGAAAAGTGAGCATTCAACAAATAGCTCACACTCATCACACGTCCACTAACCACCACCACTCCCCACAGAAACCCTCGATGCAGGCGGGAACTGCGTCCTGGAAATGCCTTCGGGTACCGGCAAGACCGTCACCCTCTTGTCACTCATTGTTGCCTACCAGCAATACTACCCAGAGCACCGGAAGCTGGTCTACTGCTCGCGAACAATGTCCGAAATCGAAAAGGCCCTCGTTGAGCTGAGAGCACTCATGAAGTTCCGAGCCGAGCGGCTGGGACACGAAGAAGAGTTTCGCGGTCTCGGTCTGACAAGTCGAAAGAACCTGTGTCTGCACCCCTCGGTTAAACGGGAGAAGAGCGGTGCCATTGTCGACGCGAGGTGTCGCAGCTTGACGGCCGGCTTCGTCAAGGAGAAAAGGGAAAAGGGCGAGAATGTAGAGACGTGCGTCTACCACGACAATCTCGACCTTCTAGAACCGCATAACTTGATCCCCAACGGAATCTGGACACTGGATGGCCTGATGAGGTATGGCGAGGAAAAGAAACAGTGTCCTTATTTCACTGCCAGGAGGATGGTAGGTCTCTTCTCAACACCTCAGGATACGAATCTGATAGCTCGAAATGCCATACATACTAACAGCTCATATGTAGATGCAACACTGCAACGTCATCATTTACTCCTATCACTACCTCCTAGACCCCAAGATCGCCGAGCGCGTGTCCAAGGATCTATCCAAGGACTGCATCGTCGTCTTTGACGAGGCTCACAACATCGACAACGTCTGCATCGAGTCTCTAAGTACCGACATCACCCAGGACTCACTGATGAGGGCAACCAGGGGTGCTCAGAACTTGGAGGCCAAGATCAGCGAGATGAAGGACTCTGATCAAGAGAAACTCCAGTCCGAGTACGAAAAGCTAGTCGAAGGACTCAAGGGTCTAGATGAAGGGCGACAGGAGGATGCTTTCATGGCCAACCCAACACTACCCGACGACCTGCTCAAGGAGGCTGTCCCCGGCAATATCAGGCGAGCCGAGCACTTCGTTGCCTTCCTCCGGAGATTCATCGAATACCTCAAGACCCGCATGAAGGTCCGCCAGGTCATCTCCGAAACGCCACCATCCTTCCTCGCCCATCTGAAAGAGTACACCTTCATCGAGAAGAAACCGCTCCGGTTCTGCGCCGAGCGTCTAACCTCGCTAGTACGAACCCTCGAGCTTACCAACATTGAAGACTACCGGCCACTCCAAGAAGTAGCCACCTTTGCAACCCTCGTTGCCACCTACGAAAAGGGCTTCCTACTAATCCTCGAGCCCTACGAATCCGACACGGCCAAGACCCCGAACCCAGTCCTGCACTTCACCTGCCTCGACGCCGCCATCGCCATCAAGCCCGTCTTCGACCGTTTCAGCTCCGTCATCATCACCTCCGGCACCATTTCCCCCCTTGAAATGTATCCCAAAATGCTCAACTTCGAAACCGTCGTGCAGGAATCCTACGCCATGACCCTCGCCCGCCGCTCTTTCCTTCCCATGATCGTCACCCGCGGCTCCGACCAGGCCTCCATCTCCACCTCCTTCCAAGTCCGCAACGAGCCCAGCGTCGTGCGCAACTACGGCAACCTCCTGACCGAGTTCGCCCGCATCACGCCCGATGGCATGGCCGTCTTCTTTCCCTCGTACTTGTACATGGAATCCATCATCTCCATGTGGCAAGGCATGGGCATCCTCGATGAAGTGTGGAAGCACAAACTCATTCTGGTCGAAACCCCGGACGCGCAAGAAACCTCGCTAGCGCTCGAGACTTACCGCACCGCCTGCTGCAACGGCCGCGGCGCCATCTTGCTCTGCGTCGCGCGCGGTAAAGTCTCCGAAGGCATCGACTTTGACCACCAGTACGGCCGCACCGTGCTATGTATTGGCGTGCCCTTCCAGTACACCGAGTCGCGCATCCTCAAGGCCCGCTTGGAATTCCTGCGCGAAACGTACCGCATCCGCGAAAACGACTTTCTCTCTTTCGACGCCATGCGCCACGCCGCGCAGTGCCTGGGGCGCGTCTTGCGCGGAAAAGACGATTACGGAGTCATGGTGCTGGCGGACCGGCGCTTCATGAAGAAGCGCGCGCAGCTGCCCAAGTGGATCAACCAAGCTTTCTTGGAAGCGAACACGAATCTGAGCACGGATATGGCGGTGGGGAATGCGCGGGCGTTCTTGAAGCAGATGGCGCAGCCGTTTAGTGCCAAGGATCAGGAG